CTTCACTACAGTCTTTTGGTTTCAGCAAAGCCAAAAGGAAGTGGGCCGGTAGCCTAGTTAGTGCACTGTGACGACGCTTGAGAACAAGGCAGTTACCACAATTATCCCAGACCCCTGCAGAGGTAGCTGAAGATCTCATCCACTGCAAGCTGCAAAATGCTGCAGCTATGGTGACAATTCGGAGAAGAGGTCGGAGGTGGGTTGGGTTGCACTATTTTTTTACCCTTTGGGTAAAGGTGAAGCAACCCCCCCATAAAAACTGTGTAAACCCCTCCTGAACAAAACAGGACAAAGCTTTGGGTGGGGTGTTCAAACCTTCACCACCCGTTTCTACCTGGCCTGAGGGGCAGGTAGAAACAGATACCTGCGACCGGCCAGCTTCATTCAAGCCTTGGTGCTGTGGAAAAACTCACCATGTTTTTAGTCATAATATTGTTAGTCTAATGTTTGCTGCCATTCAAGTACACATAACCACATATTGTTACTGTAATGTACAGATCCTAACAAAAACCCTATGATATTCACAGTATTTACATATTCATCTCATCAAACTTAATATATCTTAAATTCTAATATGATATATTATTTTTTTGACTAGGACAGCAGGCCTCTTTCTTTCTGCTTCATTCTAATGTCTGACATATTTACTTTCTTAAGGTTCAATAATAATATGCACTATTGGTCTACATCTGATCTATCAACAGCTCGTAATAATGAATTCTAGCAATATGCAATAGTTACCCAGAGAGTTTAACTTAACTTAAATGTAGGTGAAAACTCCACACTCACTAGGCTACTAAACCCAAGGCTTAACAACTCAATTTAATTTATATAATTTAAGCAACAACATTACATTGAGTTCTGTCAGCCAAACATCAGAAAAATGTAGGTTAGCTACGTCTCTTCTCCTGTGAGCTCGTCTACAACTGCAGACCACGCCTAAAAACTTCAGCACGCAACATACCTGTATACACACACACCTCAAACACACACACACGCCTCAAACACACATGAAAGTCAACTTACCTAAATTTACCATGGTGGATTTGTTTAATGCCCGTTCAGATCACATTAGTGTACAAGTTGTATTAAATTCATTTCTGAGTTGAGACACCGCTTTTAGTGAGTCGTTGTCTTCCTGACTGCCGCTCACCTGCGGACTAACAGACGTCACTTTCCGCCTACCTGTACGGAAGCTCCGCCCCAAAGCACGTTCACTGTAAGGGAGCTGTGTGAGGGGGAATCTGATCTGTTAGAAACACACGCCACTATATCCCCGACTGGCTGTTAGCTGGATTGGATATACTTAAAAGGATATTTGAAAATTATAACAAGAAATCAAAAAATAGAGAATTAATTATTCACAAAGCTCACACCACATTGTAGTGTATGTGATTTGGACATTTTTACTGTTACTGATAGTGACTTTAAGGTTCCCCTGTAATCACTGAAACTGTATGTAACCAATGATAAAACGTTGTTAATGACTTTTGTTCTTATTTGATTTCCAACTGTATAAACTAGAATAATAAGTAGTTAATGACTATGTACACAGAGGAGCCATCCTGGTAGTCCTTTGAGTCCCTTTAATATGTGTCACCCATTTCCCACATAAATGAAATGATAAAACTATATTACAATAACTGTAATATGTACACAACATTATCTTTAAAGGTTATATTACCAGCATCCATAAAATATAACTACATCACACAAAACGTATTGACTGGAGCAGCTATAGGCAAATTCAGTCTCCATAAAATATATTCCAGTGAATAATTGCTGCTGCAAATGAGGAAGACTAGACTATTTATTCAGGGTTTAACAAAGACGTGAACAAAATACCCAGTTTGCTTAGCTTTCTTTAATTACAGCTGCTAAATGCCTCCAGTCTCACAATAAAAGAGCCACTGGCTGCCTCATTAGTTTGATTGCCGGCACCTGGTCCCTCCTGCCACTACACCTTATTAATGACACACCTGCAGGGGTAGGAGAGCAGAGTGGTTGGTCCACTTTGAGATTTGCAATGGGGGCAATAGACATATTTCTCTGTGTTTTTGTTGGACATTTTATTGCTGTTCAATCAGTAGTACGTGAGCAGGATACCAGAATTCCGCAGCATTTCCCAGGATTTTTTGACAACATCATGCCTTTTCCGTTTAAAAGACATTTTGACTTCCCTCCGTATGACACCATCTTCAGCTCATGGCGAACTCGGGCACCTGACTTTCACATGCTTGCTGAGTTTCCTCCCCTCATCGGCCTTCCCCAAGTAGAAGTGTTTTGTGATGATTCTAAGCTGACTCTACTGGTGGATAAGAGATCCAGCGACATCATGCTGACTGGAGAGGAGATACAGTTGGGTAATGGCTGCTATAGCAACAGAGAGCTACCAAACCAATTTGTCTTCACTTATGGTTTAGATGAGTGTGGAACTACACGTGTGGTGAGTTGAGCAAATTCTTTAGATTTTTTTAAATTTTTTTTTTTATTGCCACAGCTTTAAGTATTTTCTAAAACCAGACTCTCTTACAGATGCAAAATGGCTTGGCGATATTCACCAACTCTCTCCACGTAAATCTCAAACCTCCCTCCACCGGGTGGCAAGCACCTACTACAGTGCACATCTCCTGCATCCCAAAGAGGTGCATCTATTGGGTTACTAAAACCAAGTGGTCACAAATAATTATATACTAAAGTGGACTGTGTGACTCTTCAGGTCCTATGCCAATCCAAACTACTTTGTATCAACGACACTTGCTGAGAATGACATGACCTTGAACATCAAAGCCATGAATCGTGAGTAATAACATGAGTCAGAAATGTTCCAGTGGGATTGTTTTCATTTGCAGACACAAATGTTTTTCCCTGCAGCATCCTGGACCAGCACTGCAGAGTCTAACATCTATAAAAGAGGCCGGGTTGTCAATCTCCAAGTTTCTGCCACAGCCAGGCCTGAGCAGCAGCAGCTTTTCATCCAGTCCTGTTTTGTCTCTGCGTCTCCTGATCCTCAAACTAGACCCAGGCATGCAGTCATAATGAATAAAGGGTAAGCAGCCACTCAGAAGGCGATCGTAATATCTTTCCATTATGATACAATCACTTATCGTATGTGTGCTCTCTGCAGGTGCACAGCTCCTGTCGGTTCTCGTCATGCTGTCGTAGAATTTGTGGCTTCTAACAGAGTTGATGTGGTTAATTTTGTTCTGAACACATCTTACCTGATTTCTGAGGTGAATTGTTTTGTTTAGTTTTTTTTATTCACATAAATTGGATGTAATGTGTGCTGTTCAGCTGTGACTTTAAACTATTTTCCTCTGAAGCTGTACATCCACTGTAGTGTCCTCCTCTCAGACCAGGGTGTCACCTCTAGCTCTAAATTCTGCAACTATAATGTGATCCAGTCAAGGTATTTGCATACACACACAACTGTACTTTAAGACCTTTTACATCATCTAATGAGATTACTTAACTTTCAGATGGGAGGACCTTAGTGGAGCTGCAGAGGTGTGTGAGTGCTGTAGCTCAAAGTGTAAAGGCAAGCACCTTACTGAAGGTCAGAACCTTGTGGTTTTTGTCAAAGTGCAACAATAATTGACTCCAGACTATTTTTGGTCTCAAACTCACTAAACATGTCATTTCAGATGCCAAAGCCATTGTCAGCACTGGCCCCTTAGTCATTGTGGACAAAGATGTAGAGACGAGCCCTGGGCCTGCTGTCTCTAAACTGCAAGAAACCTCCAGCGCTCCTGTTACCAGCTCCGTGCAGTCTGATGCCTCTGATGGTGCAGCAGCTGAGATTGTTTCTGCTGCTTCTATTCCAAGAAGCAGGCTCTCCTCTCCCCCTCAGGGTGTAGTGGTTGTGAGTCAGGACCCAGCTGCCAGACTGACCCTCTGGCTACCTGGACAGGTGCAAGATACTGAATACCGTGAGAATACTGGTTCTGAATCTGAAGACTACTTGACAGTGCTGGTACAGGCAAGTGACACGGCATCGAACGACCTTCCTGAGTTGCAACCCTCAACCAAAGATCAGGAGTCTGTCCTGAATACACCCACAAACAAAATCGAAGATCAAAATTTTAATTTTCTTACACTGGTTGATGGCTGGATCATTTCTCCACATCTGGAAAAAGCAGCTATTGCTGATGAATCTGAAAGAAAAACGTGGTTTAGGAGATTCGGATTGTCAGGCACAGATGCCACACAAGAAGTTGATGTCCCTCTGCTAGATGACATCACTATAAATGTCCTAAACCAGAATGATCTTCACCAAATGAGAGAAGACCTGGCTCAAAGGCCGAAGGATGCAGCTGTGATGCTCCAAGAAGGAAAGAATGACGTTAGACCAGTTATACGCTCAAAACTTGAGTTTTCCAAAGGAATGGATGGGTCACAGACACTGAGTTATGAGGAAGAAATTGTGAAGCAACAAGAGGGAGAAGGTGTGATCAGAAGAGTTGGGATGGCTGGAATTAAAAAGGGAATACAGGAGCCTAGGCAGAAGGGGCTGCGTTCAACCTTCCTGGATCTGTTGAGGTAAGCTTTATGGCCACCAGTTCTGTAATATGTTTCATGCATGTGACTAATATTTCTCCATCTCTTATCCTCAGGCAGATGGCCAAAGCAGAATAATTGCAACTTCATATGAATAAGTGCACTGAATAAACACTGAGCAATAATGTAGTTGTGTTTGAGTTTTTTTATATTTATATATATATATATATATATATATATATTATTAAACTCCAGGTGCTTCTGCAATGAAATATCATAATTAACTATAAAAGCATTTAAAACTGTCCAGTCTGGTTCTATGAAAGCCTTCCCACCCAGATGTCGCTGTGGGGAGCTGGGCGCTGTAGTTGGGGCAGTACAGTGTGCGCTCTCCCTTTACTCCGCATGCTCAGTGTGTTTTTTTTATTTTTTTCTATCCTGAGTTTGACCCTGGCCACTATTTCCTCCGCACCGCCACTCTCTATAAAGTGCCCATGCTTTTCCTCACGCAGTCTCTTTCCCCGGCCACAAACAACCGTGAGTGTCTAACTCACTGTTCTTGAAAAACTTAAAATAAAAATAATATAAAAAATATAAAATTCACAAAATCTTCATAAAAACAAGAAGCCTAATACTTAAAGAAAAAAAAACAAACAATAAAAAAAATAGCAAACTCATAAAAAATACTATAAACAAGAGGCCTCGGGCTTAACCCGAAGTTGGCATCTTTTTAAAGGAAGACATACTTCAGAGGACGTCGATTTATGTCGTTTTCAGGTTTGACATTTTCTCCACACGCCGGACCAGAGAGCCAGCTGTCGGTGTCTTTATCAGGCGAGAATTGAAGCGCAGTTCGGAACCAGGATACGGATCATACCGGCGCTTTTTAAATATTTTTCTGGCGTTTTTGAAGGAAGCCCTGCGTTCACTTATTTTGTGAAGTCTGAGATATGAACACAGCGACGGGGAGTTATCCGATGGCTTCTCTCTACGTTGGCGATCTGCACCCCGATATCACGGAGGCTATGCTGTATGAGAAATTCAGCCCAGCCGGACCGGTGCTCTCCATTCGGGTATGCAGAGACATGATCACCCGGCGATCCCTGGGATACGCTTATGTGAACTTCTCCCAGCCTGCTGACGGTAAGAAAGGAAACGTGTGAAGTGATCACTATGCGGTTTGAGCATTGCACGTGTCAGTGTATGCGGCTTTAAGAGGCATCAAGCATGATATAATTCAAATATTGACAGTGTCAAGCATATGGTTTGAATGTCACTCTTTAAACTGTCTACACAATCAAATCCGGGAGACACCGGCAATATGCAGAAAGCATGGTGCTTTCACTGAATTATGGTGGCTGAAGTGATATTTTTGCTGTCTAATATAGTCATAGCAGTTCTTTAGACTGGCTGGAGCACTCATTTGACCCATATAAGCACGTCCCAGTTCTTGTATACTCCATGTTAATACATGTCACTGCCATAGTTAAAGCCCTTACACACATGCAGAGTTTGACGTGTGCTTAAAAGTTAACAGAAAAGTCATTTTTTACACCAATTATACTACTGCATTTGGGAAGGTAAGCTCCTTTTTGCAGATCTCACTCATTCAGCCCAAAATGACCCATTTCTGCTCCTATTTAAAGGGCCGCTGAGTGAAACCAATTCCCATTGCCCTGTGCTGCTACAGCCACTGAAAGCATGAAGCGCAGCTGCTTGACATGTTTGTTATGTGCATTGTCTGGTACATGCAATAATATCACAGACTTGATCCTGTTTCTTCTTGGATTTAATCCCAGCTTTATTTTGAACAGGTTTGGGATTAGGTGAATTTTATAGGTTTATCTGTAATATCTGAACAACTTAAACTGCTTGTCAATTGTTAATCTATTGGAACCGCCTGCCTAAGTGAATGTCTACGCAACTATAAATGTATCAAAAGTGTTAGGCTAAGTGTCTTTATTGTGAGGCTTTTCTATTTGCAGTCAATACTATCAAAGCACTGAGCAATAGTAGCAGGTGTTGTGGTTGACTTTGGAGGCCCGGTGATGCTGTTTACATTGCGTGGACTTTTTTTCCTCTTGTATCAATGTTAAACACCTGTTACAATTTATCTGAGTCGGTTACCAAAAGCCAGAGTAATGATAGGTTACAACTGGCTCGCTTCCAGGGAGGTAGTATCACTTGAGGAAATCTAACAAGAGCCACTAGTTAGAGGACACCATTTGTTATTGAAGGTGTAGACACGGGGGATGGTGGCTGTTGGGTATTTACATTGTGTCATACCACGTGCCAGTGGGGCAATAACTTGCTGCTATGAAAATATAACTGCTCAGTACACCTGATTTCATGCGGGGTAACGCAACAGCTAAGGTTTGCGATCCCCGCTGGATTGCTTCACGTCACAACTGTATATGTAAATGCTCACGAGATGCGTTGCTCATCTGAGCATTCTTGTTGAATGTGTCTCTAACCCATCAATGGTAGAGAATGCTCTACTCACACTCCATGCCAGCACATACCTCTCAGGACCCCTCTCTAAATATAGAAGGTCTTTCTGAGCAGCCCAAAATCTGCCTGCCCGTAACTCTTTTAAGTTCTTAATATGACAGAAATGGTTAACAATAACGTGTAATCCAACACCCTTAACATTTTATGCTCTTTCACCATCATTCTAAATGACACCACTTCATATATGAATAATAACCATGTAGGCCCTATTACATAGATCCATTTGGTCTTTTTTAAACTAAGATTTTGACTCTGAACCTTCCAGAAGTCCACATTTGACAGCGATCACACACACCTTCTCTGAGCACACAGGCTGTGAAGTACAATTGCAAGCCAAACTGCTGATGCCAGCAGACGCAAGGCAGCTCCGTTTTGTTTACCAGACACTTTTAGCTGGAAAGCCTGGCCTGTGTGTGTGTGTGTGTGTGTGTGTGTGTGTGTGTGTGTGTGTGTGTGTGTGTGTGTGTTACTGTGGAGTGACTGAACAAAGGGATGTTTGGCATGTGTGCCCACATGCATATGAGAGCCTATATGAGAGTTAAAGCAACAGACGGAGAAAGAAATGTTAAAAATGGAACCTTAGTGATTAAACCAAGCTCAAGGAAGACATTATGATCCGAGCAAGTGAAGAATGAAACTTATTAACACCACAATTTAAGCCCATTTGTGTTATCTGAAGGCCTGCTGCACTCCTACTGAAACAGGCCTAGGTGGGATGTGGCCCAGCAGCATGTGGTGAGTTAGAGAAGGGGGCCATGTGCTCCCAGCTTGCCCGCTGCAGCTGCCCCCTACACCTGTCCCAGCTGCTCATCGGCCACATGGTCTACTGCAGTGTCTTAACCATGTTACTTGTGCCTTGTTAATTACAATGGAGCAGGGATTCTCCGTTGTTACATATTGCACGGCAGGACAAACTGTTTTAAACAAGCTGTAGCTGGTATTGGTAGAATGGAAACAATAATTCATTGTGTGAAAGAGCTACAATACATGTATTGACCGCGATAGATGGAAGCATGACGTGTCGTATGCATACTAGTAGTGACTGATATGTTTTTAGACTCGTAGCTCCATGTAAACAATGACCTTTCCCTCCACCTCTCTGCCCCTCCTCCCTCTAGCTGAGAGAGCCCTGGACACCATGAACTTTGACGTGGTGAAAGGAAAACCAATCAGAATCATGTGGTCCCAAAGAGACCCCTCCCTCAGGAAGTCCGGAGTGGGCAACGTGTTCATCAAGAACCTAGACAAGTCCATTGACAACAAAGCCCTGTACGACACCTTCTCTGCCTTTGGCAACATCCTCTCCTGCAAGGTACAATTGTCATAAATATGACAGAGGAGCTTTTGCGACAGGGATATTGTTTCTTTTATGCAGTATGTATTCACAGAAAAAAAACTGTTCCTGCTTGGAGATGTCACACAAATTGTGCCATAGTAAGATTTGAAGCAATAGCTGGCAGCTGGTTAGCCTTTGTCCAAAGGTAACAAAATACACCATACAGCACGTCTAATGCTCACTAAGTAAAAGGCCATTGCGTAAGATTCAGGGCCATCTAGCGGTGATGTTGCAGATTGCAACCATTTGAATACAGTTCAGCCTTAGTGTGTAGGAGAATCTACAGTTGCCTTATGTAGAGCCAGTGTTTGGTTTGTCTGTTGTAGGCTACTGAAGAAACATGGCAGTTCAAGTGTGAAACCAGCAAACTACAAAAAAACCCACAAAATGTCACTTTTACACTTGTTTTTGGATTTTGTATGGATTAAAAAACAAGATTAAACATATTACTTTGGTCTTTATGCTCAACTGGGCTAACTGGCTGCTACTTAATATTTAGAAGATAGATTTGAGAGTGGCTATGATCTTCTCATCTAACTCCCAGAAAGCAAATAATCGTATTTCCCAAAATGTTGGAACTATTGGAACTCCCCCCTGCGCCATGATACCTCTTTAATGGATGCATATTTACCCATACCTGTTCCTCTGCGACAGGTGGTGTGTGATGAAAATGGCTCCAAGGGCTACGCTTTTGTCCACTTTGAGACCCAGGATGCTGCTGATCGAGCCATTGAGAAGATGAACGGCATGCTTCTGAATGACCGCAAGGTGTGAGTGTCTGATCATCTAGGAACTGGGGACAAAGGGGTGTTCGCTGTTGATAATGTTTTGAAAACCTTTTAAAATGATTCAGCTGGAACTTTCAAATGATTTTGGTAGTGTTTTTCATGACATTGAAAGTCCCGTTGAAGGTACAAAACATAATGAGCTTACGGTGACAGGTGATGGTAATAGCTTATGTGTATAGAACTGTGTTGTTATTATTTTGTGTCTTAATGCATAAACCTGACCTGTCTGTTCTACACTTGTGTTGAGTGAACTGACTTGTCGTGTATTTTTCAGTTGGTGAGTTTGTGCGTGAATAATCTGACTAATAAGCTCATCTCTCGCCACCACCAGTATGAAGATAACCTCTAAACTGATAAACTAAAAAACTCTTACTTGCTGTTATCTTTCCTACCAGACGCATTTTTTTTGTTGCCTCATTTGTCCACGCGCTGGTCACACGTCTTGGAGTGTTTGTGTGTGTGTGTGTATGACCACGCTTGTGTGTTTTAGTGATGGATCGAATGCAGGAATGCAATACTCGATGGCGGAAGGAGAGAGAGGTCATCATAGAAAGGTATATAAGATCATTTGGTCCTCCTGAGCTTTCCTTTGTACTGTGAGACTCTGTCCCTCCATCCCTCTCCATCCACCTCCTCATCAAGTTTTGGACCAAGAATTAAGATGGTCGTCACTGTGTTGTCTAGCATGCCGACATATCTGCCTGCCTCTGGTGATATTAACAGTTGGATGGTTTTTTTCATTGTTTAGCCCAGGAATTATGAGTCACATGATGAACTGTAGCTGTGAATTTGTTTTGTGAATGTTGTCCCTGTTTTTGTAAAAGACTGTACTCTCTTACTTACCGTGCTTGCGTGGTCAGGTCTTCCAGTGTCTTTGCGGAACTTTCTGTACCCGGAATACCGGATCAAGAGTGTTTTAGATCAGAAAAAAGCAAAGGTTCAAAAGAGATGGATCTTGGTTTGTGGTTTCTCATCTCTGTCAGGACTGTTTTAAAAGAGTGTGTGTCGCTGCTCCCCCTCTGTCTTCAGGTTTGTGGGTCGCTTCAAATCCCGCAAAGAACGGGAGGCTGAACTAGGAGCCAAAGCCAAGGAGTTTACCAATGTCTACATCAAGAATTTCGGGGACGATATGGATGATGAGCGGCTGAAGGAGCTTTTCGACAAATATGGTAAAATGTGACCAGATTTGTTGGTATTACTCAAAACTCTAATGGGCTTCTGCTGTCTTACCCCCACTTATCTGATCTTTAACCTCTGTAGGTAAAACACTTAGCGTGAAGGTGATGACAGACCCTACCGGCAAATCCAGAGGCTTTGGATTCGTTAGCTACGAGAAACATGAGGACGCTAACAAGGTACTTTGGCTTCATGGAAATGCATAAAAGTGAGTGTTTATTGGTCATTCCTTCTGATGATAACCAATTTTGGCCAAAGGCTGTAGAGGACATGAATGGCACTGACCTCAACGGCAAGACAGTGTTTGTGGGCCGGGCTCAGAAGAAGATGGAGCGGCAGGCGGAGCTGAAGAGGAAGTTCGAGCTGTTGAAACAAGAGAGGATCAGTCGTTATCAGGTCTGTAAAAACTAAGCCCTTAATTCATCAAATAAATCGAATCAATCTTACATTTCAATCCACTGATGTCAAAGAAGCTGCCGCATATGCATCCTGACTGTCTGTCTGTCTTTGGTTTCAGGGTGTTAATCTTTACATTAAGAACCTGGATGACACCATAGATGATGAGAAACTGCGGAAGGAGTTCTCTCCATTCGGATCTATTACAAGTGCTAAGGTGAGAACGATCAAACAGGTGTAGCAATTTATTACCAGCAGAGAAGAGATAATGCATCTCTGCAATATAAATATAGCAACAGCGTGACACAATCTGTCTATATTTTAGGTGATGCTAGAGGAAGGTCGCTCCAAGGGCTTCGGCTTTGTCTGCTTCTCCTCCCCCGAAGAGGCCACCAAGGCTGTGACTGAGATGAACGGACGTATCGTTGGCTCCAAACCCCTCTACGTGGCCCTCGCTCAGCGCAAAGAGGAGCGCAAAGCCCACCTCACCAACCAGTACATGCAGCGTATTGCTGGCATGAGGGCTATGCCGGCTAACGCCATCATTAATCAGTTCCAGCCCACCAGCGGCTACTTCATGCCAGCTGTGCCACAGGTGTGAGAATGAAAATCAAAGAGAGAGATGTGTGTTAAAGTGGCTATAATATATTTCTATATTAAGAAATAGATAATTATCACTCTACTTTACAGTTCCCCTCAGTTCTTTGAAGCTTGTTAGTATTTTAGCAAAGTATTTTAGTTTTAAGGATCGCAGCTTTATTGTTTTGGTTCAGTCTCACTGCTCTTACCAGGCAGGCAAATGTTTCTAGCTCTAAATATATGTACTCACCAGCCTAGCATTAAACTACAGACTGACAAAGTTTGCAAGTAGCAGGTGAACATTGTAGAGCATTTAGCAGCTTAACAGCCTGATATTTTCCTCAGGAATCGGTTGAGACCAAACACAGAGCTATAGGAGAGTACATATTGGACTTACATTCGCTAGGTAGACACAAACATGAGTGTGTATGTGTTCATGCAGGTTTAAAATAAGTTACTTTATATAAATTTAGAATGTCAAGATGTTAAGAAAGCTATAAATAACTAAGTTTTTGCACTTAGAGGTCACTAGGCGAACTTTTGGTACTTTAGTTTCCATTGTATTTTCAGCAGAACACAAATTAAAAAGGTAGTCAGATTAGCGCTTTCAGTAGGGTAGGATTTTAGTACCATAAAATGTCATACATTTCACTTATTTGTACCCACCAGGCCCAGAATAGGACTACATACTATGCACCCAACCAACTGGCCCAAATGCGACCCAACCCCCGATGGCAGCAACAGGGTGGCAGAGGTCAAGGTGATGATCTGGCACTATGTGATAGTGCATCTATCTTTGATATACTTTCAGTTACCTAACAACTGTAATAGACCTATTTAAAACATATAACAATGCAGTTAAGTTTTGTATCAAATCTTACTGTTTTTGTCTCTGCTTCTGTCACTCCCAGGTGGTTTCCAAGGGATACCGAGCTCGCTGCGTCAGCCAGGACCCCGTGCCAACCTGAGACACATGACCCCTAACAGCGGCGCGCAGGGCCCACGAGGTTTGTTCACCAGTAACAACTGACCAAAGTGCTCACCATCTCTGGATTTAGCATTATATTGACACTACATATACAGTAGAGGTTGACACTGTGTAAATTCTGCTCCTCTCTGCTAGCTTCTGGCCAAGCCATGGGACCTCGTCCCTCAATGGGAGTACCCGGCCCTCGTGCCATGCCTCCTTACAAATATGCCACTGGTGTCCGTAACCCCAACCCCCAAGTGGTGCAACCTATTGCCTTACAGCAGGTACAGACAAAAGACCAATCATACCATCTTGTGTTCCTGTCACATCAAACCCCTGAACCTACAAATACATTCCTTTCATATGTTCTTTATCTATCCCTTCCAGGCTCAGCCAGCTGTGCACATTCAGGGCCAGGAGCCTCTCACAGCCTCCATGCTAGCTGCTGCGCCCCCTCAGGAGCAGAAACAGATGCTAGGTAAGAATCCCAAACTGTGATGAATGAACTGTAATGCTTTTCAGTTTTTATTTGATTGATTTATTCTCAGTTTTTCCAAATAGGTGAGCGCCTTTTCCCACTGATTCAGTCCATGCATGCCAACCTGGCAGGAAAGATCACTGGCATGCTGCTGGAGATTGACAACTCTGAATTGCTCCATATGCTGGAGTCTCATGAATCTCTGCGTTCAAAGGTACTTGGCTACCTCCACCTTTGCCATATTGTCACACTAATGGACTACAAACACACTGCGTCATTATTCATGTTTGGTGTTATGTTTGTACAGGTGGAAGAAGCCGTTGCGGTCCTACAAGCCCACCAGGCAAAGAAAGATGCCACTCAGAAAGTGGGCAGCTTGGCTACTACTGCTGCTGCTGCCACATCCTGAAGACTGCATGCTGTATTTGATTGGTATGGCAATACATAAACAGTCACACTATTCATACTGGTTGATTTGGTCATACATAATTTAAGTTTTGTGTTACTAATGAAAACTCATTGTGTTGTTTCAGGGCACAGAAAAATGCTCAAAGATGGAGAGAGACTCACTACACCTACTCTAAACACCAGACTCCTCTGAACAATTATGCAAAAAAGAAGGAAAAAAAAGAAAATGTAATTTTAAAAATATACTTGAAAATTTTGACAAATGTTACAGTTGATAATTTTCTAATTCTGTAATACTTTTAAACTGCATACCAAAAGCAATAATGCAAATTAATCTTGAATGGAGGCACTTCACTTTGTGGAAAGGAGAGAAACCTTTTTCGAAAAGGAAAATGAGCTTTGTTCTTTTTCTTTGCTTGAAAGTTTTATGTTTGATTTGAAATGATGGACTCCATCCTATCATGTTATCATGGGTGTGTGGTATTCTCAATAAAGGGATGATATATCAAGGTTACCACTTTTGTGTTACTTTTAATGCTTACATGTAGCCTATTATTATTATTATTATTATTATTATTATTATTATTGTTATTCTGTTTCAAGTCTGTATGTGTGACACACTTAACTAGTATAGTGCAGAGATGGCCAAGAAAGAATAAGGGCACTGCAAGAGCAGCACAAATTATATAATGTATCATCAGTTTCATCTGGGCTAAATTAATATAATTTAGGGTGTTTCCTCTTTGAATAGATGATTGATACATGAAACAGAAGGGAAAAGAAAACATTTAATTTGCCTCTTTAAAAGGCATTTTTGCATGAAAGACAGGAAAAGTTTTTTCCTGTACCATATTATCAGTTGGCAATATCGCCACTGAGCCCTTGCATAGAAACATTATGGTCAAAATCACTGTCATGACTTCATTGGTATGAAGTCACAACAAAGGGTGGAGGAAGCTCTAAACAAAAGGTCACAACTCCTAAATCACAGGGTCTGTCACCTTTGCATGGTTTGATGTTAATATTACTCATTTTGTAAATAAGAACAATGTAAAGTTGCAATAAAAATGCAAATTTATAGGTGTCAAGTTCATGTTCAAACTCTAATTTTTACTCATCCTCTTGTTGGCTAACATGCAACACTAGTCACAGTAGGAAAACCACAGGTGGAAATAATAAAATGAAAGATTAGTTCAATTTAGCTGCTTCCGTTTCAGGGTTGTGGTTGTGTGCATTCTTGCTTATCATGCTGTGAAACAACTAAATGGAATTCAGCCATCCTTTATGTTATTAACACCTGCTCCTATAAAGATTATTAGCTCAATTACAGACTTACCACACTGAACTCCAACAACTTGCTTTGACAACAGAAGCATTTTTTTGTTTTCTTAAATGGTCAGAAAACAAACAAATCTGTATCTTAAAAGTTACAGTGTTGATATACATGGTGATATAAAAGAGGAAAGTTGATGGCTGCTGCAGAGGGTCTCCTCCGACAGGCGGCGCTGTCGGAAATTTGGTCATATGGAGGCGGGCCTCAGTCTCTCTGCACCAATGACGAGCTGCTGGGGTCAAAGTTGAAGGGTTGCATCAAATATGGCGGCTAACAAACGAGTGCTGTATGTTGGTGAGTTAATGTTACTTTTCATAAAAATACGTTAAAGTTATAGTGTTTCAGTAAATCTAGCTAACGTACTACGGGTGTTGTTTTATAATTAATTAAACCAAACGCAACTAAATATGTATAAAGTGCACATAATATGAAGAAAAGCTCCCATACGTAAAGATTGAGCCGGTGAAACATGAAAACGTCACCTCAAAACATGGCAACTGCGTTGGTTTTAAACTTTACAGTTTTCACAACGCCACAGATAGAGTATATAATGTCTATGTGTGTAATAAAGTCTGAATAAATAATACAAATAACTAAAGAAAGCTTAAGCCTTAGGAACTCGGCTCTCCAATCGTTCTTGTTGTGTCTTGAACGTACCACGTAAACCTCCTTTATCCTCTAATCTGAATATAACTTACTTATAAACAAACATTTCTTCATTGTCAGAACTTAAACTGTTTCGGTGTGTTTCAGGTGGCCTGGCAGAGGAGGTGGATGAGAAGGTGTTACATGCAGCCTTTATTCCGTTTGGAGACATCACAGACATCCAGATACCACTGGACTATGAAACAGGTGAGATCAGGAAATTTGCTATAAAGTGTAACGGTAAGTGTTTAAACACTGTGGGGAAGATACATATTAAACAATATTAATGTGACTTATGTTCTGTTTTCAGAAAAGCACAGAGGATTTGCATTCATTGAGTTTGAATTGGCAGAGGTATGTACTAGTTATAAAGCACATCAAATATTCTATTACACCACTAAAGACAATCCTCTGTGGGAGAATCATGAGATAACATTGAAAATGGATTACTTTAAGGTTAATTCAGTTAATATAAGATGTGTGGTTACAGATGGATTTTGAACATGTACACGCCTTAACTGAGCTTGCTGACATATGCTTTACCTATCTACAACTATAAAACATAGACATGCACTTAGTGTATACTATAGGAGCAACATAAGAGAAGGATTTTGAGGTCCATTAAAAGATGATTCTCAGCTATTAATATGACTGTGCTCTGGCAGGTAAACATGAATATGAACTGAATGAATGTATCGGCATCATATGTACACAGTTTTATTGAAATGTTGTCTTGAGAGGTTAATCATAGTCTGCCTGGTGAATGTAAATGTAGTGGGACTTTCATGGTAAATATTTCTGTGCTCCTAACCTATTTATGCCCCTTGTCTAGGATGCTGCAGCAGCTATTGATAACATGGTAAGTGGATCGCATTGCTTCACATTAATGTCAGTGAATATTTATTCCTGTTTTGTTGTGAATCCCCCAAAAAATTAGGTTCCTATTTTAATGTTTGTGTTTTTCTTTCTTTTTCTCTGCTAGAATGAATCTGAACTTTTTGGACGGACTGTCCGGGTCAACACCGCCAAGCCCATGAGAATCAAAGAAGGCTCTTCTCGACCAGGTAACTGATAAAAAAAAAAAAGTTATTGAAGCCTCTGGCTGGGCAGTGATTTAAATCCTTGTTTCTGATTTTAACTCTGCTTTTCCTTCAGTGTGGACAGACGATGACTGGCTAAAGAAGTTCTCAGGGAAGACCATAGAGGAAGCTGAGGGGGAGGCAGCGAGTGGAGAAACAACCAACACTGCAACACAGGAGGTGAGCCGGCTTTCTTCCTGAAGTCCATTGGTGGTCCTCTGACTCCTAACTATGTCAAGATAGTGACGTAAGCATGATTACTTTTTGCAGGGGGAGCCACCGGCTAAAAAGGGCAGAGTTAATCCTCAGGTCTACATGGACATCAAGATTGGGAACAAGCCAGCCGGGAGACTACGCTTCCTCCTTCGAGCTGACATCGTTCCCATGACAGCAGGTGTGTGCGTGCGTGCTGTCGGGCATTCATTATAACATATTTGCCAAAAATAAATACCTTAGCTGCACAATGTGAAGCTTGCTTTCTGTTAAAACAAAACAACAAGTGCGTAACTATGTCAACTCCATTGATAAACAAATAAAGTCAGTGACATCTTTTCTTCCATCTGTATATAGAGAATTTCCGCTGCTTGTGCACACATGAGAAGGGCTTTGGCTTTAAGGGCAGCTGCTTTCATCGCATCATCCCTCAGTTCATGTGCCAAGGAGGTGACTTCACCAACCACAATGGCACCGGTGGCAAGTCCATCTACGGCCGAAAGTTTGACGATGAAAACTTTGTCCTCAAACACACCGCTCCAGGTAAGGAGTTTTGTACGGAGGTGTGTGTGTGTGTGTGTGTGTGTGTGTGTGTGTGTGTGTGTGTGTGTGTGTGTGTGTGTGTGTGTGTGTGTGGTCTTTGTAAATGAGCGCCATGGTTTATGTTTACAAGCAGATCCTGTGAATAACTGGCCCATCCTTGTCTCTCGTGCTTACAGGACAGCTCTCCATGGCCAACTCTGGGCCAAACAGTAATGGCTCTCAGTTCTTCATCACCACTGACAAAACAGATTGGCTGGATGGTAAACATGTGGTGTTTGGAGACCTGGTGGAGGGGATGGATGTGGTCCGTGCAATGGAGGTATAGAGACTGCAAAATTATTGTTTAGATATTTTTATATATATAATAGCCGCTTTCTGTTCCACTGTAAAATGAAGGGTTATGTCAGTGATAATATAAAACCCAAAACTCACTGCAAACAAAAGTGTGCCATCATTTATTAAATCTTAATTATTCCCTGTAGTTTTTAAAAGAAATAGACACAAACACATAGGTCATTGAAAGTGTTCAAGAGTGTGCAAGAATAGAAACTGAAGTTCTTTTGATATATATTTTTTTACATACATTACACATTAGTAATAGTGTAACAGTAATGAACCTCGATCGATGTCTCAAACTATGCCATGTTGGGAAATGAAGGAATTGAGGGAAGTGGGTCCAGGAAGCCCTTGAATTTGAAGGTGTGGGAACCCTTATGTCTGCTGGTTTACCAAAGGGGCCGTTAATGCTATGATTGGAGATAAACCTTCTAAACAATTAATCTTGATTTAGAAAATAAAAGATAACACTTGTGAGTATGAACACAAATATTATCTAGATCATAATTGTAGCCATAAATGTTGAACTCAAACATGTCTCTGATGGTTTTGTATGTGCATTATATTATTAGATGCTCATATTTTTATAAAAGCTTGTATAATTTGAACACAGTCAGGCTGCATTTTGTAAATAATTGCTGCATTTTCCTCCTACAGGCTCAAGGATCAAAAGACGGCAAGCCGAAGCAGAAGGTCATCATCTCTGACTGTGGAGAATATGTGTGAAGAACAAAGAAGTGTGTGCTTGTATGCGTGTATAAAGGCAGTGCATGTCTGAGCGCAGAGTGTGTTCATGGTCTTTTGTATTTTTGAACCCACATTATCTGCCATGTAAATATTTCAATAAACACATTTTTTTTATAAAGAAACAACAGCTTGATGTCTGTTACTTTGTACAAATAAAGTGTCACATTGATATGCTGTTTTTTGCCTTACCCCTCTAAAGTTGCATATTGTCTTCACTATTTTGAAGTTAGTAACCATCAGCTGTCAGTGTTGTCAAATGCCCTGCAAAGAAATAATTATGGACGCTTATATCTCAATATATCTTATAAAAAAAGAGTGGTTTAAGCATAGTATACAAATCAAACATGCTAAAATATTTGATCTATATATTATTATGTACTTAATGGGTTTCATATAAATAATTAAGTGATCACGTGCAGGGAGCCTGTTTGAACAGTTTACATCATTTCTACAAAATTACTAAAAAAAGAAGGAAAAAAACAACACATCGGACGTTTCTTCTCATCTAAATAGACAAACAAATATTTGGAGGAATGGAGCTGCCACACCTGAGCAGGTTGAGTGGTGAGAAGAAATGGCAGGCAAACAACTCCACCCCCTCCACTCCCGTCGTCAGTTGAGAAATCAGGACATACTCATCCGAGAAGTTCATCCAAAGCCTGTTCCTCCGCTGCGACACTGAACCGCAACAGCTTCAAAACTGTAAGTATTCAAATTTACATAGAAAGTACTGAATCGGATTGTAACGCGAACTTGTTCACTTTTACCCGATTTAGTAGGTTCTAGACGTGAGTGTTTTGGATACGCGCAATTGCGCACGGAATGTACAAACTCGAAGAAAGCGTTTACCGCTGCCGTTACGGAGTGAACTGCTGATTTAAGAGTTGACTGTATCTCCGCACAGAAACGAATTAAAACGTGTCCAATTATATGACAATAAAGTTCAGTTTAAAAAAGGTTTGAATGGTACATAATGTGCTAATTTTGCTCTTTTTTTCTTGTATGTTTTGCCTTCCACACATCTTAACATGTGTATGTAAATTACCCAGTTTCACCTCAGTTTGTTTCTTTGTTGTCTTAACCCCCTCATGTATATCTGAAATATGACTCTGCTCTCTTTTTCTCTTAGTCTGGTAGATACCTGAAGTTTTGTCTGAGCCATTTCAGCCGAAAAGAGCTTCCTCTGTCTTCCATCAGCAGGAAGAGAAGACAGGCTGTGAACAAACCTCGTCATGAACTGGGCATTCCTCCAGGGCCTCCTTAGTGGGGTGAACAAGTACTCCACAGCCTTCGGCCGAGTTTGGCTCTCCATTGTTTTCCTCTTCAGGGTCATGGTGTTTGTGGTGGCCGCGGAGAAGGTGTGGGGCGACGAACAGAAAGACTTCAAATGCAACACGGCTCAGCCCGGGTGCCACAATGTCTGTTATGATCACTTCTTCCCCGTGTCCCACGTACGGCTGTGGGCCCTGCAGCTCATCTTCGTCACCTGCCCCTCTCTCCTGGTGGTGATGCATGTTGCCTACAGGGAGGACAGGGAACGCAAAAACCGGCTCAAGTATGGCGAAAACTGCCACCGTCTCTACAAGAACGTAGGCAAGAAGCGCGGGGGGCTGTGGTGGACCTACGTCCTCACTCTTGTCTTCAAAATAGGCGTGGATGTTACTTTTGTCTACCTCGTCTACCATATCTATGAGGGCTACGACTTCCCCTCGCTCATCAAGTGCGAGCAGAAGCCCTGTCCCAACAAGGTGGACTGCTTCATCGCTCGGCCCACTGAGAAACGAATCTTCACCCTCTTCATGGTGGTCAGCAGCCTGGTCTGCATCCTCCTCTCCATTTTTGAAATCGTCTACCTGATTGGCAAGCGCTGCTATGAATGTTTCTCCCATGTCAATAACTCTTCCAATGTCAACACTAACACAATGTCCAGCGGAAGCAACTTGATGGAGTCAAACACACTAAAGCTGATGGGCAAAAACACCCCTGAAACGCCCGCCCCTTCATACAGCGTCGCCATATCTTGAGATACTGAGAATAAAGGCAAAGACTTTATGAAAAACAAAGACATGGGAAATGATATATGTCTGTCCTCACTCTACAGACACTTCCATGTCAGCAGACATTTGTTTGCTCACACACTGAACTATGATTGAGGTAGTTCCTTATTGTTTGTGTCCACTGTCAGAAAATCTGAAATTCGGGACTTCAAGACTCATGTGTCACTGATCTGGAATGTGCTCACTGTTGTGGGTACGGGTCAGAGTATTTACAGAGGTTTTACAAAAGTTCTAGCCCTTGCACAGGGGAAAAAATGCAAGTTTGTGTGGTGGAGTGTCAGATCTAGCCTCGATACCAATTACATGAGTCACCATGGTTTGGACAGGATGGTTTTACAAACACATGTGGTTTTCTGTGTAAGATTTTCCCTCTGCTCGGTTCCCCTCTTCCAAATGTTTAGTTCAAACTGTTCTGTGTCTTTTCCCGTCACTCACATGTTCATATCTGGCTCCTTGTCAGTTCTGTACTTTACATAATTTATCAAAAGGTTTAAAAGATTGTGTTGTTGTGCATGTTACTGTTCTTACCTGTTTTGAACTGCTTTCAGAAGAGAGCAATAAAGTTGTAATGCACTGTTGTAAACAGTTGATAATATCAAAGGTGCAGAGTGGCTGCATATTGTTAATATTATTTTTCATTAAAGATAATTGTCATATTTTGAAAATTTGTTTTTTTTCCCCCAGGAAGACAATTTGAATACACAGTCATGCATACTGCATTCAAATCAGAACAAGTAGTTTAGCTGTGACAGTTACACAATATGCAAAAGAGTCTTAGTAAATATACTAAAGACTAATGTAAACCAGCCATTGTTGATTCTGCTTTTGAGTTTTGTGGTTTGACAAAGATCTCAGACTTTCTTTTTTCCTCCACTTTTTCCATGTGTTTCATAAAAGCCCTCCCTCCCCATTGGGCCACAGATTGCTCTGTTGCTAGGAGCAGCACCCTCATTGTTTAGGTTGATTGGTACTTTGAGAAGGGCAGAGGAGGAGTCAACCACTCTTCAGTTCGATTCATCCGTGCTGACGTGTGTGGATCCACCCAGTGCAGGAATTTGTCGGTCCGTGCAGCCTCTTAATGGATGTTTCCAATATTTACACTTCAACATGCGATAGGAGAGATGTAGTAAGAGTAAAAGCACATATTTCCTTCTCACTCTCTCCTTGTGGTATGAGCCGTGCAGATATTTTCAGTTTTATCTCATGATGTTTTGAGATATCTGCCTCTGAAACTATGCCACGTCTTTACCACAGAGGAGATTAAAATATAGTTTGTGCTGCTCAGAGCAATGAAGACATTTAAGTCTTTAAGTGTCTTCTCACAAACAATGAAAGGATAATCTGCAGGCACCACTTTTAATAGCTTTCATTGGAACAGTTAAGGTCTATTTCAGTAGACAGCAATCCGATGAAAACTATTAACAAGTGAGGTCTGTGGATTATCATAGTAATAGGGGCAATGTTTCAGGAAAGAGAAGTCGCTGCTGGAAAATAAATGTTCACCTCCACTGTATTGGGGTGGCAGCAGATAGATCTAAATCCTCAGCAGATAAAACCACAAATATCTGAATGGTGGGATACCACAGGGAGGGTGGAAAAATATGTTGTTTGATTTGAAACTCAATCCATCCATATAAAAGTACACACAGGGATGGCATTTCCTCCCTCTGGAGTCAATGGTTGCACAATTAAATGAGCGAAGTGATGAAGTCTGAGATAATTCTCACTTTTAGACTGAGCTAGTGGAAATTTTGTGCAAACAGGATCTCTCTCAAGTGTTATATCAAACATCTTAAACTGTAATATCTACTGGCTCTGAAAACATAAGGAAGCTTCATTATGTGTTGTTCTCTTTGTCCTTTTTCTGTGAGTCCAGCCAGACTGCCAGCCTGGGTGGTTCTGTAAATGAGCCAACAATCACTCCAATTACAAGACCCTCCCTGCTCTTCTAGTATTATTTCTCTTCTCTTCGCCCTCGCTTTCTCTGCTCCCTGGTACATTTCCTCCCTTTCACAGTACCAGCAGTGAAAAGCAATGTGTTTATCCTGTTGTGTCTGTTTGTCTTGTTGAGACTTGTGGCTGGCAGAGGTTGACTCATGGGGTGCATTCCTCCAGGTGTGTCCCGGGCCAACTGCCTGGACCAGTTCTTCATCTACAGCCAAAAAGCAACTTTTCTCCCCCTCCCCCCTGCCCCGAATGCAATTCCTGTCTACTGAACTGCTCTGAATGTTGCTAGTACAGATGTTGTGTTCATGTGCTCAAGCCTTATGCCATAGATGACTTTCCTGAAAAGCACAGCTGCCATTGATTCTTCTAACAACATCCTGAGAGATTTAGCTCACAGCTGCAAGACTTCGAGGGGAAGTGTTTGATTTAGAGTAGCCGGCGCTGTAATAAAAAAATGTATAGTGTTACTTTTCACTCTTGGTGTCAGACAACTTCCTTTTATAGGGTTTATAGGTGTTTCTAGACAGATGAAAATATGAGCATAATATGTAAAACACTTTCTGAATGCATTTAAAGACCTAAGTTTGACCCTTTTATCAGACAACTGAATTGCTGTCTGCATCCATTCACATCCATTTCTTTTTCAGAAATGTTAACAAAGTGAAAACAAAAAAGCTCAATTATAAGGTAACTTGTTGTCATATATGCGTGTTTCATCTCAACACACCCTTGTAAAGTACAGGTGTAACTTCTTAGGAAAGGTTTTTCGGAGAGTGCCTCCTTATCTTCTTAGAAGTTTTGGGCTTGGTTGGGGGCTATTACTGTTGTGAGCCTGAGACATGCCCATTGAGGCTTTGTACATTGTGATTGTACTGAGCAATACAAATAAACCTGACTTGACCTGAAGCTGATGTCTGAACAAGTCTTTTATCGTCTTAAGTAATGTAAACACGGGGATTCAACAGCTCTGAATGCAGGAACCAGTCTGCAAGAACTGGCAAGCTGTGGCCCAGAGCTGTGGCATCTTGATCAAGCTGACATTTGATATTCCAATACTGCTAATGGTAGGCTGTTTTCCTCACAGAACAGTGACAAAGTAATACACAGTGATACGAAATCGTGACAGCAAAGTGTGAAAAAAAGAAGTTTGGTTGTGACAGTAGATGGATGGAAAGTGGAGACACAGCTCATGATCTGACAATAAGGATGAACTTAGAGGCGCTGGGAGTTCATGAATTGTGACAGTGTCATCTGAGTAGAGCTTGGTTTTAAAAGGGATAAAGGAAACACAATACACCTTCTGGCATTTGTGTGGGCGTTGCATGAAAGAGTAGAAGCAGACAGCGTAGAAATCAAACGGCAGAAGGACAGGGAAACGTTATAAATTTCACAGTAACATATGTACTGATCTCCCCTCCACTTGCCCTCGTCACCGCCACCAACATCCCAGAAAATAAGCTGCCTGGCCCTCATAATACTTCTAGGAAGTTTAAACAAAAAGAGGTTGCATGCACAACAACAAAAAAATGCATTCACCTCAGGGTGTGTCTGCCTCTTACGTATACTTTGCGAAGTACTCAGAAACACGCTGGGACAAGGAGACAGTCCTTCCTGGAAACATGAAACATAAAAACAATGAACTTAAATCTGTCTTCTTTTTCTCTATTTTTTTAAATTAACATAATCACCCTTTTGGGAGAAGCACCCTTCCATTTTACCCTGTCTGAGACTGAAGCTGTCAGATACACTGTAACCTGACTTCTGTGTCTGTCTGTGGTGTATGTTGGGACACCACACTATGTAGAGAAAGAGGGGGGAATGACATGCAGCAAAGGGCCACAGGTTGGAATCGAACCCAGGCCGCTGCAGTAAGGACTCAGCCGACATGGGGCGCATGCTCTAGTGTGTGCCCCACCTTCAAATTCTTTAAGTTTTCCATTCATTCTAAAATAAAACTAAACTTCAGTTTTCTACAAGGACCCCTGGTCGTCTCCATGTTGCTGATCACAGACTTTAACCAAATGTGGTCTCAAATCACCACAGCTGTGTTCTATAATCTGGTTCTAAACTTGATTGTTCATGTGTGGGTCTAACTCCAAATCCTATCCAAAGTACCTGGACATGGTTTCTGAGAAATTGTGATAACTGTTATGCAAAAATATTTAATTCGCCACCTAACACTGGCATGTGAGTGGGAGAGACAAGCAGAGAGCGAGAGAGGGAGGGAGGAGGGAGTAAGAGAGAGGAACATCTGGGGCAGCTCCAGTCTTTCTTCTTTAACCACACCCACAGACGCATTTCTCAACACAGCGCTTCTCTACCTGTCGAGTGGAGGCTAATCCATGCGTTAAAGGACTAAAACGACATAAAAGTGACAAAAGAGCTGCTGGAGATATGTGTAATCACGCGTGTTTCAACTAATAATGGACTAACACTTCTTTTGGTAAGTGAAAAACTCACGATAATGAACTTTTGATGTATCTAAGATGAGTTAAAGTTCGCGTTTTAGCCAATTGGAAATGAGTGTTTCTCCGTTGGCCTTCATGCGTCTATGAAACGCTTATTTTTTCACTGGTGGTTGTACAAGCTCCATATGTCGGTTATGAGGCAAAACTATCTAAACTAATTAAAATATGTACAAATGACGTATACAGCCCGTGCGTGAAAGGCTTTTTTTTGGGTAAAGACTCAGACCCACTCAAATGACTGATGTCTGCTTTTGATGTTAATAGATACACAGCATAAGGCTGATAGTATTTACTTTATTTCTTAAATTGATATTTGTATAAAAGTGGGGAAGTAGACATGCTGCTTTTTAAGATACACATTGTCTGGTTGTGTTAAAAATGTTGGTCCGACTTGTTTCTTTCGTGAACGGTTTGGCTCCAGGCCTGCTCATGACTGTGTTATTATTAGTGCTTGTTTCTGGTAGGGTTGATAAATGAGACCTGTGGGAGACGTTTTTACATAAATCAGCTTTGGAAGATAAATGACTGATTTAAAAAAGACAGAATAAAAGGTTCTTTGTTATTAAAGCCACCTGGAGTAAGTGAGACACCGTGAACACGGATGTTCACAGAGTGAAAGCAGAATATTCAGCAGACAATGAAAACATGTTCACCCATTCTTCATTCTGCCACATCCAGGTCTGAGGATAAACTACTACCAGCAAGAGAAGAATTCCATAGAAGACTTATCTGACTGCCAGCCAAGGATATGGACTGGAAGACCTTCCAAGCCCTCCTCAGTGGGGTGAACAAATACTCCACGGCGTTTGGGCGGGTATGGTTGTCTGTGGTGTTTGTCTTCCGGGTTATGGTGTACGTGGTGGCGGCAGAGAGAGTGTGGGGCGACGAGCAGAAGGACTTTGACTGCAACACCAAGCAGCCCGGCTGCGCCAACGTCTGCTACGACCACTTCTTTCCCATCTCCCACATCCGCCTGTGGGCTCTGCAGCTCATCTTTGTCACGTGCCCGTCTTTCATGGTGGTCATGCACGTGGCGTACCGTGACGACCGTGAGCGCAAATACAGGGCGAAGCACGGTGACAGCAGCAAACTGTACAACAACACGGGCAAGAAACATGGCGGCTTGTGGTGGACCTATCTGATTAGCCTCTTTGTGAAAACGGGCATTGAGGTCTCCTTCCTCTACATTCTCCACCATGTCTACGAAAGCTTCTACCTGCCTAGACTAGTGAAGTGTGATGTGTCGCCATGCCCCAACCTAGTGGACTGCTACATTGGCCACCCCACAGAGAAGAAGGTCTTCACCTACTTCATGGTCGGAGCGTCGGCCCTCTGCATCATCCTGAACATCTGCGAGATCATCTATCTCATCTCCAAACGCATTGTGAGAATTGCAAACAAGGTGAAGAGGCGCCATCGCAACGTGGCCGTGCATCAGGACAACTACAACGATGACCCCTTTAACAACTGCAACGTGCCTGTGTCGAAGCTGAACCCGAAGGAAAGGCCTCCGTCTTTCAAGACTGCCTACAAGTCTTCGTACAGGCCATCAGGACTCAAACTTGAAGAGAAGATACGGGCCTCTGCTCCGAATCTGTCCACGACTTCGTGATTGAAAACGAAGCCGAAATCAGGATAAAGATCAAGAGATCTGCAGTGCTTGGGCTAGAGCCCGATGACAGACCTCAGAAAACAGACTCAGAACTATGAGACAAACTACAGTATGTGTCAAACCCTGGAAGTTGAGTCATCAGTACTGGATTCTTCCTGTGGGCCCTTGTGTCTACATCTAAGACTCTTTTTGAGCGCATGAACTTTGGTTTCCAAGACAACATCCACAATATTTACAAGTCAGCTAGAGCCAAATTGATTTGTTAATGATATGTGGGTTTCTTCTTTAAATACAATAAAGGTCTGTGTGCCTTTCACCCCTTCCACTGTATTAGAACATTCCAGTGAGGTTTCGCTGTGTTTCTTGTGATGGAAGTTTTGACATGGGAGGGGAAGGAAATGAAACACTGCACACAAGAAGGCAGGACACACCTGGAAGAGGTATTCACCCTCCCTGCCAGTGTCTACAGTGGTGTGTCAGGGCGTTGTATTGTCACTAAATGTTAGATGCGAATTTCAGTGGTCTCTTTTATTTAACTGAACTGAAATTATAGCTTCATCTTCACAATTTGCTGTCCTGATGACCCTAAGTCAAGAATGGTATAAACAATTCTGCACGGTAGTGTGGACACTCCAGAGTCATAGAGTTATGGCTGAGTAATACTTGAAGGTTTGCATACTGGGCAAAAAAAGATATTTTTAAACACATTTATTTTTTCAGTTATGATTTATTACAGCAACAACATACATATATCATTGCTATATGTCTTTATCTAAAGCCCTGGTCGGCATATGCTTGGTTTCAGGTTTATGCTGCACAGCCACACGTTGTACATAGACTGCCTGTGTTTTGACGTGCTTGTACACAAACTTGCCTTATCCAGACCACTGTTGATTTAAATAAGGCGAAAGGAATGCTGCTGTTGAATTCTGTGTTGTCGGAGCTGGAGCACCGTTGAAGAGGTGGGAGAAAGGTTGGACAAACACATGGCTCATCAAGTTTTCCCTAATCGTCCACTGTGGACGTCAGGTGGAAATGTGCTGTCTGCACTAGCTCTTTAAGTGTCATATGTTTTTTTTTATAAATTTAAATGTATTAAATTTTTTTGAATGAATGTTTTTTGGGCTGCTTATTGATACATTTTTTCTCAAATCAGGAAAATTGTTTCAGGTTTATAAACATGAGGGACAAATGCCAGCTTTCTAAACCTAAAGGCACCACCATAGTACAAACACATTTTTTCTTTCACAATATGTCTGATCATTACTATTATTTAAAGAATGGTATTTTTCCACTGTTGATTCATTTCTAACACAAACCATCAACACGTTTGCCAGTTAGTCTTTTGAAATTGCAATGACTCATGACATGGTATTCCCGTCTCTGATACATACAGTATGATGTATGTTTTCTAAGTATTGTAGAGACCTGGGGTAAGAATCTCAGCCTGCCTGTCATACTTGCCAGTCAGGTTTTTGCAAGGTGCGGCAAACAGAACTGTTTATTCTGAATAATTTCCGCAACAACCAGCAAAGTCACCATGGAGATTGCAAAAGATTGGCTGTCACTTGAGTGCGAGCAATGATGCCTCAAATCCATTTTTTTAATGGAAATCTGTATAACTGCTTTTGATTACACATCCATGGTTCAACATTACCTTACTTTATTTATATACAGTTCAGCCATTTATATTGCCTAAAACTATATTTCAGAGATTGTAGAGTCTTCACAATGCTGTATAATTTCAAAATAAATTTCAGTGACACATTTAATTTATGAAATAGTTTATTTTTAAACTCACAAGCTTGTCAGATATGTACATGATGAATTTGAGGACAGGATTTTAAAAATAAATACTTAACACATATTAAAGTAAAACTAGAAATCCTACATAATAAAATAAAAATCATTCTTAAAATCAGTGGTATACAGCACATAGACATTTTTTCACAAGCCAGTACAATGCCCAAGTTCATAAAGACTGAGTTTCCACAGATGCTCCCTAGATAATTCATTTGAAGACAATGATCACTGCATACAGAGGATGGTAGAAGTCTAAACAACACTCCTGTCCCTGTCCCTGTCCGACATCAACGGTGAGTTTATCCATCCCTAGGACATTTTTACCGGCTAACTTATTATTATAAACAAAGTCTGTGCTTCACTTTGGCTTACCCACTGCCCGGAAAGCAATGTGAGCACACTATTAAAGAAACTGGTGAAGGCATGGCTTTTGATAGGTAGGATGTGTATGATTAGATTTACTTTACATAAGGCACCGTTCCAGCTACGCTATCATGTAGTGAATAACTTATCACATTTTATTCTCAACAGAAGGAGGGGTCAGTACCGTCCCTGTACCATGAGAATTGATACAGGTACTTTGGTACTTAAATATTTAAGTAATATTCTCACACAATCGAACTAAAATTAAAATGAGGAGAACTGGAAGTACAGAAGATGATGGGTCCAGGTTAGATCATTATTATGCACTGTACACTGTAAATAGTCTACAGTTTGCAGGTGGCCTGCGACACTTTGGAGTTGGTTTTTCTGTTGAGGGATCGACAGATGAAAGCTCCAGCATCCATCAGCTTCGAGAGGTCCACTCCCTGAGATGAGAAGGGAAAACCAAAGGGTCAAACTTTAGGTGGGGGGGGTTACATTGTAGACAAAAACATTTAACTGCTAAACTAAACTATGATACAGTGACCTGGAACAGTCTGCAAAGCCTGGTGTAATAAAACAGCAGTTTGACTTTTTTTAATGAATAAACTAATAAAAATACAAAGATCATTAGCCCATTTTTATCCTTCTTTTTTTACATAAACACAAACGAAAGAACAGCAATTTTAATCTCTACTATGAAAGAAATTAAAAGACAGGTGAGGCAAAAGAGAAACATAAAGAGCAACTTCTTACCGTCTGAATGCCAAGTCCATGCAGCATATAGACTACATCTTCAGTAGCAACATTCCCAGAAGCACCCTGGGCATAGGGACAGCCACCCAGTCCAGCTACTGACGAGTCTACCACACTGATTCCCATCTGAAAAATAAAGGAAATCTTTACCTTGAAGCTAATAGAGTTAACACTGTCCTGACAACAGACCACCTACATCAGGGCTACCAAAAGTGGGGCCCACTAAGGTTAAATTTTCATTCATTTATTTTGCATCCTATAACCATGATCACATAGTATGGAGCATAAACAGAATACACAGTAACAACAATTAATAATAAAAATACTAATATCAGATGGCATTAAAATAACCAGAACCAAGTCTGACCTGTAAGGCAACAAGGATGTTAGCCAGGGCCTGGCCGTAGGTATCGTGGCAGTGCACTGCCAGGGCATTCACTGGCACCTCTCTGCTCACCGCCTCCAGCATTTCAGACATACTACCTGGAGTACCCACTCCGATAGTGTCGCCGAGAGAGATTTCATAGCAGCCCATTGAGTACAGACTCTTAGCTACCTGCAAAATAGAGACAATGCTGGAGCTGGTTCCATGACTGTGTATGTTTTTGTATTGTTGTCAAAGAAGGATTATTGATTCTACAAGTTTACCCAATGTAAATATATATCAAGTGGGAACTCACATGTGCAACTTTTTCAGGTGCCACCTTGCCTTCATATGGACATCCAAGAACACAAGACACATAACTGCGGTGACAAGAAACTTAAATAAAGTTTGTGCAAAAAAATCAAACCCTAAAATTCCAATGATTTATAAGTTTGTTGACAGTCACGAGCAAGCCAGTACTCCTACCCTCTAACTGGAACACCAGCCTCTTTAGCTGCCTTCATGACCTCATCAAAGCGCTGTAAACTCTCATCCACTGAGCAGTTTATGTTCTTCTTACTGAACAGCTCAGACGCAGCACCAAATATGGCTACCTCTGAAGCTCCTGCCTTCACCTGTAGAAAGTAAAAGCAAGGAAAATGCATTTTCAGTGACACTTTTACAGCATAAGAAGCTGGATGTACAATATGTCTATGTAGCTATTGGGAAAGTTTGTAGGAATATGATGCTTGACACTCACAGCAGCCTGGAAACCCTTAAGGTTGGGGGTGAGGACTGGGTAAGAGACTCCAGGTTGCCTACAGATCCCCTTCATCACCTCCACCTGGTCTGCCATCTAACATTTGGAACAAAAATGATAGAAACCAATTAGCGCTGGAGAATAAAGGCCACTTTCAATCATATACACTGCAGTTTCTGTACCGCCCTCAGTGGGGTGTGTCAGCACTTAACATATGAATCGCTCCGGGTCTACAAACTCACCTGTGGAACCCATTTTGGAGATACAAAGCTGGTGGCCTCAATGACTGGCAGCCCTGACACCGACAACATGTCGATCAAATGAATTTTTGTCTCTGTTGGCACGATAGTCTGAGAGGAGAGGAAGTAAAGCAACAAAATGAGGAACACTTGATAATAAAAAAAAAAAACCACAAACGCATGACGGCGATGGTTTCACCTGGTTACGTAATGAGCTATGCACCTGCTCTGTCTCTCGCCGATAGATGTGAGCGGTGCCAACATTACACCTGTACTTCCTGGATGTAAAAGCTGCTGTGTAATTAAATTAACCACTTATTTTTTTACCTTTTCATTCTGAAGGCCATCTCTGGGTCCAACCTCCACTATTTTCACCTTCTCTGGGAGAGCTTGGCCTGCTCTCACACCAGCCTACACACACACACACACACACACACACACACACACACACACACACACACACACACACACACACACACACACACACATTAAATACAGGTGTGAAGAAGCTGTACTTACCTGTGAGGACTGATAAGAAGTTAACGTTAGTATCTAACGCTAACTCAACCGTAGAGGATGCTAACAGCTAATGTTAGTTAGCTGCTGTTCAGACTGCTAAGTTAGTTAAACACACACAGTACAATCTGCTGGGAGATAAAAGCGTTATCAGACTCACTGCTTGGACCTTTGCTGTGGAGCTTAACGCCAGATACTGTTGACCCATTGCTGAACTTAAAGGGCTTCTGTTGACAAGCCTGATGACAGCCGCCATGTTGGTCCGGACTCCGGTCTGACGTCACTTCTTCCTCCTCGTGAGGGAAGGAAAAGAAGTCTCACGAGTTATTAAAGCGCCGCACGGGCGCCATCTATGGACCGGAGATTTGAAAAGATCATTGAGGAATCCCTTTATTTAAGATATTATTGAAATTAAACTCCCATTACCATATGAGTTATGTATATAACCCACACACACACACTACCAGTCAATAGTTTGGACATTTAATTTAATGGTTTTTTTTTATTTTCATGACTGTTTACATTGTAGATTCTCACTGAAGGCATCAAAACTATGAATGAACACATATGGAATTAGTAAACAAAAAAGTGTGAAATAACTCAAAACATGTTTTATATTTTAGATTCCTCAAAATAGCCACCCTTTGCTTTAGTTACTGCTTTGCACACTCTTGACATTCTCTCGATGAGCTTCATGAGGTAGTCACCTGAAATGGTTTTCCAACAGTCTTGAAGGAGTTCCCAGAGATGCTGAGCACTTGTTGGCCCTTTTGCCTTCACTCTGCGGTCCATCTCATCCCAAACCATCTCGATTGGGTTTAGGGCAGGTGACTTTGGAGGCCAGATCATCTGGCTCAGCACTCCATCACTCTCCTTCTTGGTCAAATAGCCCTTACACAGCCTGGAGGTGTGTTTGGGGTCATTGTCCTGTTGAAAAATAAATGATGGTCCAACTAAACGCTAAACTAAACTAAACCGGATGGGATGGCATGATGCTGCAGGATGCTGTGGTAGCCATGTTGGTTCAGTGTGCATTCAATTTTGAATAAATCCCCAACAGTGTCACCAGCAAAGCACCCCAACACCATCACACCTCCTCTTCCATGCTTCACGGTGGGAACCATGCATGTAGAGACCATCCGTTCACCTTTTCTGCGTCACACAAAGACACGGCGGGTGGAACCAAAGATCTAAAATTTGGACTCATCAGACCAAAGCACAGATTTCCACTGGTCTAATGCCCATTCCTTGGGTTTCTTGGCCCAAACAAATCTTTGATTCGCGCAGACTCCTCTGAACAGTTGATGTAGAGATGTGTCTGCCACTAGAACTCTGTGTGGCATTATTCTGGGCTCTAATCTGACATGCTGTTAACTTGCGATTTCTGAGGCTGGTGACTCAGATGAATTTATCCTCAGCAGCAGAGGTGACTCTTGCTCTTCCTTTCCTGGGGCGGTCCTCATGTGAGCCAGTTTTCGTCGTAGCGCTTGATGGTTTTTGCAACTGCACTTGGGGACACATTCAAAGTTTTTGCAATTTTCCTGACTGACTGACCTTCAGTTCTTAAAGTAATGATGGACTGTCGTTTCTCTTGACTTAGCTGATTAGTTCTTGCCATAATATGAATTCTAACAGTTGTCAAACAGGGCTGTCAGCTGTGTACCAACCTGACTTCTGCACAACACAACTGATGGTCCCAACCCCAATAAGGAGGCAAGAAATGCCACAAATGAATCCTGGCAAGGCACACTTGTCAAGTGAAAATCATTTCAGGTGACTACATCATGAAGCTCACTGAGAGAAGGCCAAGGGTTTTGCAGCGCTGGCTTCACTAACGTTGATTTCATTTGTATTCATTAGAAATGAACCTGTATACTCAGCCATCGCTTTTACAAAATTTTGAACAAATTGCCATTTTCATGAGTACAAATACAATTTAAAGCTGTCTTTTAAGATGCCATACAATGCAAAGATGCCACAATTAATTTTATTGCTATTTTTACAATTTTTATCAGTTTTTTTTCATTCATAAAATTCTAAAAGAATACCAGTGTTACTGTTTTCCTACGAGGCGTTACATATTTGATAAACTATTATGTACACAATTGAATGTTATAGTAGAATTTTGAAAACAGAATCCGCCTTTATTTTATTGCATTTTTATTACTTTCTCCTTTATAATAATTGATTGTACTTTTCATTTACACTGAAAAAGAGACACAGGGAAAAACAGACACTGGAATGTATAAAAATATCTTTAATGTGTCAAAAAGTAAAAAAGAAATAATAATAAATTATAATTGGCTTTATATCATAGTGCATCCCATAATCAAACATAATCATAAAAAGCACTGCACCTGTGAAACATTGGGAAAAGAAAAGTCTGTTCTTGACTTTCCCTACAGGGAGTAGGGAAATATACTCATTATTCTGTCTTTGTCACTTTGTTTTGCTCAAATGCCAACTTTTCATCAAAGCAGAGAGTCCCAAAAAGCAGCAAAGCTGTTCTTCCATGCATATGAAAAAAACATTTGAAAGATTTATCATATAACTATAATTGAAACAAAGGAAACACTGAATATGCATGCTTTGGATACTGCATATCTTTATGAAGCTTAACAAAAAGCATTCCATTTTGTCACAAAGGTCAACAATCTCATTGAAAGTAAAGATGCATTTAACTAATAGACAACTAATATATCATTAATGTATGTATTTACATCAGTGGATCACATATTTTATGCATAAATTCTCTTGCATGGCTTAGCACACATACACACGCGCACACACACATACACACACACACACACACACACACACTTTGGTTTCATTTCACTGCAGCTCCTCATCACTGTCGTCCACTTGTTGGATGATGAGGTCGGCCCCCGAGTCTTCTGCCAGGTCGTCGTCATCGGTTACCATCCAGCTCCTCTTGGTGTCCCCCTCCTCCTCCCCATCTACCCCCAATAACAGGGCCGGCTCCTCATTGGTCCCCTCTAGACTGTCCATGGGGATGTCGTCACAACCTACTTCCTGGATGCACGCAGTGCACATGCGGTAGCGTCGTGTGCCCTCACACACCACATGCCCAGTGTCCTCCGTCACCTGACACTTACACTTCCTGCACACCAGCTTTCTGGCTTGATGGATCTATGGAGAAACAGAAAACAAAAAATGTACATTCAAAATAATAATGTAAATATGTTTAGAGCAGATTAATTTATTGTTGAGCTGTATGGGTATGAGTAGGCGGTTGTGAACACTGATAGGCATAAGAAAACAATGCCTCTTTTGTTTTTCAACCCTATATTGCAGCTTGGAGTGTAAGCTTTATCACTATTTCTCTGTTTCTGAAGGTGTTAAACCAATAATGAATGACAAATTGATGTAAGTTTAGGCTTCACCTCCTGGTTGTAAATAAACCTACCGTCTCAAAATGGCTACGAAGATGCTCCAGGCGAGTGAAGCGTTTATTGCAGGCCTGACAGGGGTACGGCCTCTCCCCAGTGTGACAGCGCAAGTGACGCTTCAGGTCTGCCTTCCTCTTCACCGTGTGCGTACAAAAGGGGCATTTGAAGCGCATAATAGGGTTGGAGTCTGCAAGGAGGAAGAGAAACTGTTCAGAAATTCAGCATTTCTGTTTATTCCCTTGATAGCAGTATTTCTTGCTTTTTTTGAGGGTTACACTCACGCCAGTCTGCTCATGGTGAAGTATGTTATTCCTTTTCTCACTTCTCTAAAGGTAAAAGAACTATTGATTTTCCATTTTCTCACATAGAGTCCAACTCACCTTTATTAAAGTGTCCAATAACTCCCACAATAGGTGGTAGAGTAGCATACAGTTCCTCTGCCTTTTCAGCCTTTTGTGTTCTTGCCTCCTGGATGTCCAGGTCTTCGTGCTGGTTGGAGCGGGTGCTGTTGGGTGCTCTCCTCTTGGTTCCCCCTTTACCTCGCCGGCGCTCTGATCCAGGCAAGGTGTACAGAGGGTCCTGAGGGTCCTGCAGGTCCTCTGCCTCTGCGTTGAGCTCATTCACAGGACTGCTTGGATTAGTCTTCAGGGCTGAAGTCGATGTCTCCTGGTCTGAGTCCTTCCCCATGAACCCGGTCTGGGATCTGGAGTTGTCCCGGGTCCAGAGCGCCGGTGGTGGGCTGACAGAACTGGGGCCTTGCTGCTGCTGCTCTGAGGTCTCTTCCCCTGCTCCGCTGGTGAAACTGCAGGTCTCAGACAAGCTGAGGCAGCGCTCACTGTCTTCATCTTTCACACTGATGTCCAAAGAGGACTTAATGAAGTTCTTGCAGTAGTTGATGACATTGTTCATCTGCAAGTAGCTGGCTGCAGACATCACCTCAATCACATTGTGACTGGAGAGGTCCAGCTGGCCGGAGTAGATGAAGTCAAGGATAACGGTGAAGGTCTCTGGGCTGAAGACGTCAAAGGTGGCATGGACAGAGTCGGACAGCCCGTCGGGCCCCTGGGACAGCAGCATGCGGAAGTAGCCGCTGCTGGCGAACAAGACGTTGCGGTGGGCCCTGAAAAGCTGGCCCTCCACCAGCACGCTGCAGTCACAGAAAAGCTCCTGCCGGCGTTGCTGGTTGAGCTGCTTCAGCAGGTTGCTTTGGTGAGCCACTGTGATGTCAGCGGTGTTGAACCACCTCTGAGGCTGCCTGCAGGACACAACACGACAGAACTCACTCTGGCTGTGTATGCAGCATAGTAAAATAAACTAATCATAGAGGCCTTGCAGAGAGCTTGTGGACACTCATTAGTGAAATTAAGACACTTTTATAATCATGATCCTGAAATAACAATCTATATGTATGAGCCTAAATGCAAACGTAATGTATGATATGGATTCTACATATTAAAGAAGGAAACATGGAGAGTGATTCATCTTGATTCATATTCTTTATGATAGTCAGCTAACCTTAATAAATGGTTATACTACACACGCCAAATATTAACTGCAGGTCACATAACCCACACAGCAGTGACACCCCATCGATGTAGCTGTCAATTATCTCCCTGTCTTTGTTGCTGTACTGGACCAGCGCCAGCTCCGCAGACGGCCCGCCCCGGACTTCATTCTGCACTGTGATTGGCTGCAGGAGCCTTCAATCAAAATCTTCTTCTAATGGGCTACACCCGACTCCAGTCAGAGAGCATCGGGTGACAAAAACCCTGTAATCATCCTTGAGGGAAGCTAAAGCGCGCATGAAATCTCTGATGTTACAGACACATCAAGACTGATGGGAAGAGGAAATAAAACACTATACCCGGACATCCAAATAGGGAAAATAAAATTGCCGCAACCTCATTTGAAGAATAGTTCTCCTTCCTCTATAGTAACCTATATAGCCATTCCCATGTACTGAATTACACGCATTCATTTTTAATTATGAGATACTTGCTGACAGGCTCCACAGCGCCCGATAACCCACGGTGCAACGCCCGCCCGCAAGACTCTGTAGTGCTCCTCATGTCACATGAAACCCAGTCTAATATCTTACCCGAGCTACTCTCCGTTAATTCAGACATCAGTCGACCTACAAAAACGACGTGAAGATTGCTGCAGTCCTGCGAGAGGAAAGCGGGCAGCGGCGCACCAGAGCAGCCCAGTCTGTCCTGGAGCGACGCCCACTTCAGGCTCCAGCCAGCACACAATAGAAAAATAGACACAAACCTCCAGCGACTGAGCACGCTGCGAGCTTCATAAATAAATATATTCACATAGTGTATCACGCCGGGGATAAGACGCGCTAAATACACCCGTTTTCATACTCAACACCACCCCCACTTCCCGCCGGAGGTCCGGAGCGCAAGCGAGCAGCGGGGAGGATTTGCCTGCTGCCCAAACCCAGCGACTCTTTCCCAGGCGTGAGGTGTCGGCAGGACCCGCTTACGCCCCACGCCGTGATACCCCTCAGAAAATCCATCGATACTCACTGGTGACTTGATTCACCCGGCGCCCGATAGAGTCTACTCGCCCCCAGGTCCGCCACCATATCCATTTTTAATTTATTTAGCCTTTTTTTTTTCTTTGCTCTTTTTTTTTCTCGTCCAGGGTCCACAGTCAGGCACTTCCTGCTCAGCCCTAAAGACCGAAACCCGGTTAGAGCGACTGGAGCACTGTGCTGACGTGGGTGTTTATTAACTGGGTGCCCGAGGGTTCAAGGAGCCATTTAAAGCCCTAGTGCCCCGTTTAAATGTACTGTATGCACAGAATATTAATACTGAACATTGAATACCCCAGCCTTGTGAAACTGAGCAATATTTGTCCAATATTTCTGTAGGGATTTATACCCAAACACACTGATATCACCCTGGTAGGTTTCTTTGATCTGCCTTGGCATCACATTTTCAGTTATGTTCTTGTATTGCTCAATAGTGACTTTACAGTAATCTCATCATATTTACAGGTCAGTGTATCTTTTACTAGAACTATTCTCATGTGTTAGTCTGAATCATCTAATCTCATAATGTAGTCCACATTGTAACAGTCAATCCCCTTGAATTAATAAACTCATTTCACAATCATTTGAAACAGCCCAGTTTCATAATGGAGTGGAAATGAAGGCTTCAGTTTCCTCAGTAAGAAAATTAATTTATTCTTTCATTGTTATGGCTCACAGATCAATACATTAATAGAGAAAATATTCATTGTTTATCTGAAATGACAACACACAGAAACCAGAAAGACATTCTTCTATGTAAACAGTAATTAAAGAATAAGCTTTAACTATTAGTATAGAACAAATAGAAAATTAAACATGACAAGACATAAAGCATTCAGCTCCTCTTGAGGTCTCATCATGTGTTTATGTGATATGCAAAAAGGAGGAAGTTGATGGTTTGCTTTGGCCCGGTGATTTAGAAGAGGAACAACAAACAGCTGGGGTTGCATCAAGAGGCTGTGCCATTGGAAAATCCGGTGGGGTTCATGGACTGCCAGCGCCACAGATCCTCACCTACACGGGTACAAAAAACATAAACATAAAAAACATTTCACACAAAAAAGAAAAAATACATGCAGATTTTTGCGGATGATGTTGGACAATGAATTTTGCAGGGTTGATGTCCTTACACATTCTTTCCAGGTCAAATTCAGCCTTCCAGGCCAGCTCGTTCTCAGCTAGACGAGGGTCAGCGTAGCACGATGCTATGTCTCCTCCCCTACGTGGAGCGATTTTGTATGAGATCTATGGAGAGGACACGTTAGTAAAAAAAATTAATTAACAAAAAGGAGGGTGGTTAAACTAGTGGGAACTTCAGTGGATCGGAGACATAGTCAATGTCAGATTGGCCGTTCTTAAACTCTCATCATATCGTAATGTAGTGTTGTTACTGCTCCAAGTCACTTCAATTACTCTCAGAGGACACTATACAATCACCGACCCTGAAGACAATTTACTTTGGAGAGAAAGAACTCTTCTGTCACTCACCTCTTTCCCTGATGCCTTCTCCATGGCTTTCACCATCTGCAGCACAGAGTAGCCTGTCCCTGTTCCTAGGTTGTAAACCTACAGACACAATAATGCACACATGCCAGCACTCTTATAAACACCTCAATCATGTGAACACACAATTAACCAGAAAATGACTGAAAATGTGTTTTAAAGTGCTTTTGTTTTTTCTTCTTCTCTCAAATGCACCTTGCACCCGCAGTCTTCCTTCAGCTTCTTCAGAGCGGCTATGTGTCCTTTTGCCAGATCTACAACATGGATATAATCTCGCACACCTAGCAACAGAAAGAAAACCTTGTTTATATGATTCTGAACATGAGTAAAAGGTGTGAAATGACGGTTTACTCATTATTAAGAGACTTCTGCCCAAAATAATATTTCAAACTATAATTTAATCTGTGTACCGCAGCAAAAGATCTTCTTCATTACCTGTCCCATCAAGTGTATCGTAGTCATTCCCAAACACATTGAGGCACTTTCTTCTCCCAATGGCAACCTGTGAGGGAGAAAAATCAACGTAACAATGTCAAATCCTCCGATAACGGCAACCACATGAATATACATTGCATGCTCAGATCTAGCCCTGTATTTGGCAGACAGTTTATGTACCTGGGCGACATATGGCAGCAGGTTGTTGGGGATACCCTGAGGGTCCTCTCCTATCAGGCCAGAGGAATGGGCTCCAATTGGGTTGAAATAACGCAACAGCACTGCATTCCAGTCCTGCTGACACACAGGCAATAATGAGACACACCATGTATATGCGTGTGTGTACACCTGTGAATGCCGTTCCACCTCCTAGTCTGTACCTTCTCAGCTTTACAGTGGTCCTTGATCATCTCCTCGATAAAGTACTTGGTCTTGCCGTAGGGGTTGGTGCAGCCACCCACGGGGTGCTGCTCGTCGATGGGAAGGTGCTGTGGGTCTCCGTATACTGTAGCTGAGCTGCTGAAGACCAGATTGTGCACCCTGTGAGCCTGCATCACCTGGGATGCATGCAGATGCAAACAAACACGGCACACACATACAGTCAGCAGCTGGTGAGATAGCAGTCTAAAGCGCCACACACACACACACACACACACACACACACACACACACACACACACACACACACACACACACACACACACACACACACACACACAGGAGTAGGCATAAACGCCAAGGCTGGCGGACACGATGAACTCCACAAACGAGTTATCATGCAGTGTTAGAATTAGCCAACTCAGTATCAAATTAACACACACTGCCATGCAAATAATGATCAGTTCAGACGGATGACTGAAATGAAGTGCAGATTTAGTAGAGGAAAGACGGTGTCAGATCAGATGACAAAAATTGAAACTGACCTCAAGCAGGTTCATGGAGGCATTGAGGTTGACTCTGTAGTAGCGTAACGGCTGCTCTACTGACTCCCCAACAGCCTTCAGACCAGCAAAGTGCATCACCGCACTGAAAGAATGCTGCAACACAGACAGACAGATACACAGTCACATGTGATGAGTGTGACCAATGAGAAAGGACTTTCTATAACTAATATGCACATACAGTATAATAGTGTTATGTCACACTACATACTTCCAATGCTATATGAGAATGTATGGTGGCCAGAAGGGACATTCTTTGATAAAACGAACATAGTTTGTAAAAACTAAGCATGGAATTATGTTATTGACACAAAAATGACTACTGAATTACTGTATTTATCAATGACTATCAGCATTTATTCAATTTAGTTCATTTTAGAGCTGATTTATGAGGAAAAAAACTTAATGGAGTTTAATTGAATGTACATATTATTTTTACATATGGAGAAATTGGATTTTGTGCTGCAACGAACAATCACAATCTCTAAAATTTTAGAAAACTGTGAAGAAATAAGTTTGCTATTATTAATGTCAAAGAAAAACATCAATTACATTTGAGAACAGCAATTTTTGTTTGAACAATGTGTTATTTGCTTATCAAAATGGTTCTAAATGTTTTTACCTTAATCGACTAAGCAGTTAATTGACTGTTACTGTTACAGCTCTGATAAGATAAATAAATATATATATATATCAACTGTATTAACTTTCTTACCTTTTTGAATAGTTTTTCTAAGCCAGGTTGGTCCAAAAGATCAAGCTCATGAAACTCAATGCTGGTGTCCAGGAGCTTCTCTATCCTATGTATGCTCTCTGGCACATCCCCTTCTCCTCCATTCACAACCGGAGGTAGCACACACACACACACACACACACACACACACACACACACACACACACACACACACACACATACACACACACATACACACACACATACACACACACATATATTAATACCAGGCATGAGTATATACTAAACAAACACACTTGCAACAGGCACATTTATGATGACGTACAAAGTTATTCAGCCTGTGTTTCCACTTGGGGAGCTTACCTCTTACAGCGTTACTGAAGTTATCTATTACAACTGGCTGGTAACCTGCTTCAATGAGCTCCACCACACAGTGACTCCCAATGTAGCCAGCTCCACCTGTGACCAGCACCTTCTCTGCCATTGTTGGACCTGTCAAATATAACATACAGTCCGGTACATACAATCAACCCTCCATTCAAAATCTAGTTATAGTTATTTTATTACAGTTCTGATTGCAGCCGAAGAAGAATGACTCAGAGGCCATACACGAAACAGGATATCCTCTTGTGTGAGCCTCTTTTAGCACACCTCTATGGTTTTGTTAGGTGAACTGACAGATATGTGCCCTGCCCCTATTGTCCAACGTCAGAAGGCTCAAGCCATAACCTGTCTAACCACATAAATCAAAAAGGTGCCCACAATATAAAATGTCAGGAACTACTTTGCATTGTCAACTATTCTTATCTTTTGAGACAGCATACGTCACTCTTTACACACTCTAAATAAGATGGAACTTACTTGTACATTGCATAATAAAAGTTTTATTATTTAATTCAACTCAAAACTATTGCCAAGGACATAGCACAGGCTACTGTTTAATTCTACATCTGAGTTTTCTTTAGCATACACTGGTGTACATGAAACTGCATGTCCATCCAGACTACATCCTTAACACTCTTCTAATTTCCCCCATTATATTCACTCTGTGCTTGGGCATTGATTTGTAATGGTCTGTGTGTAACTTTAGGCGATCAGAAATCGCACAGAATCTTTTTTTTAAATATCATATCATCTTTGCCAATTCCACTGAAGACTCAACCAAAGTCTAACCCATTGAGGAAGGGTACAACTTCTGTGACAAACTGTGAAAAGGAGACAACAACGTATTGAATGATTGAGGGTGTCAGTGAAAAGACTTACTCAATTTCCCGGTAAGACTGTAAATGGTCGTTCGCGACAGAGTCTCTTAGTAAATCTGGTCAGGAGGAGCAGGTAAAGCGTGTGTGAAGGTTTATCTGTCTGTTCATTTAGTAAAGTTCCCCTGTCTCCTTTAGACATTTCTTTACTTCCTGTGAAACGTGGACTAGAGTTCAGTTAATTACTGGCGCACGACTTCCTTTACGTGTTCTTTGAAAATAAAAGCGCACACGCGCCTTAATTCGCACCTCGCAACGTAAACTCACTTAAACTTGAAGTTTGACTTAAATAAATTGATGAATAGGTGATGTTATACCGTGCAGAAAAGCTAAAACGACCTATTCACTTGTGTTAATCGTGGCGTAATTCACTTTTCAGGTCTTATTTTGAAATAGGAACCAGATTCACACTGTATATTATCGTTGCCTTCACGAGCCTCTACGGTCTCAGCCGTAGTACGTGACGACTCACATGCCATGACGTCAGACAGCACTGTAATAAAACCACGCCTTTTACCATTCACACAGGTAGGTGACTGTGCTGAGCATCCACCTCAATCTCAAACATACCGGATGGAAAAAGTGCCACGTTACTAAGAAGGACATCCAGTCAGTAAAGCGTTATGCAGCAATACAAGTCCAACTAAGCTGGTATTGCTGCATAAAGCTTTACTGACTGGATGTCCTTCTTGAGTAACAACTTTTCCAGCTTAGTTGACTTACACAGTTACTTTTCCAAAAAAATAAAGTACAATATGCATTCAGTCAGCACATGCAGGAGATGTACATAAGCAAATAACAATAAGGGATATTTGGATAGGAAGTGTGATCTTTTTTGTATTTTCATAACAAGCATATAAAAGCTGTCTCACCCTGATCATCCGACCTAACCAAACTAACCTGCTCCAACATCTCTAAATAATTAAGCTGCCACTGTTGAGTGACTAAGTTTTTAAACTCACTTAGGCCACACACGACTTTATGGATACACACACAAAAAGCATGTTAGAAATATACAGTATATATGTCTTTATGATCTTATAAATATATAAAGAAAGGCGCTAGATCCAAATTGTAAGATTCATAAAGTTATATATCATTTAATAGATTGAGGGAAGTAAACAAACAAACAAAGAATAAAATAATCACAACATGCCAATATAAAACTCATCATATTAATTCCCTAATCTGTGAAGCCTCAGAACTTTCCTAACTGGCCCCATATATTTTAGTAAAGCACTATTTGAATAATATCTTGAAAGTTATCAAAGGTGGGTAGAAAGGGAGGTGAAGTGATGATTGACTGAATTAATGTGATGGAACAAACATACACACACATACACACATACACACACCAGCACAAAGAATAAGCTCATACCTAAATCTACTTAAAAAACACTCTACAGTTCCCATTTATAGACAAATACTCATGCCCAACCTCCACACCACTTACAGAAATCATTATAAAAATCATGAGAAACCAGACCAGAGGATCCAGAGGATCCCAGACCCAGGAATTTCACACTACTCCACTAAATCAAAAGCTTCTAAAATAGAGCTGCACTTTCTATTAACTTCAGATCCTTGTATGCTAAATAATGCACATTAAATATATCTTGGAATCATTATGTTCATATAGACAGTTGTTGTTTTCCTTTACGTTCGTATGCAGTACAGATATAGCAGGATTCTTTTATATCCTGTGCCATTTCTGGAGCCTGTTTGCCAGTCCTGCCCTGCCGAGAGACACTGGCACATGAAGAAAGGGAGCAGGATTGGGAGGAAAGAAAGATGAGACGGAGTCGGATACTTTCGAGATGAAGTTTGCTCGCGTCATTCCCTGCAAATGCTGTCTCTTTGTTAGAAAGGGCTTAGAGCTGATGAAGAAATCTCAAGGGGGAAAACAAAATGGCAAAATAATTCAGCAGGGGTACATGGTAATAATAACAAAAACCAATCCAACCATTCAGAAGAGGACAGAGGAGAGGAGACAGAAGGGAACATTTAAAACTCAGAGGAGGAACAACATGTGACTATTTTACTGTCAGAGAACAGCAAACAAACCAGGACTGCTATCTCTCTTATGGTTTAGTTTGTAACCATTTAGAGTTTCATTTTGGGTCAACTGTGTGCTTTCTAGTTGATACGCCAGGAAGACATTTGTTTTTGACTTTGTGTGCTGATGCAGGTCAACAGCATGACTCAGCTTTGCCTGTGCGTCTGTATATGCATGAGCGTTTGGCTCCACACTTCCCTCGGGTTGCCACCCCAGCACCGAGGGTGGCTGCGGCTGTGGGAGGAGGGCGAGGGCTGTAGGGAGTGCAACCAGCACCTCTGCCCTTCAGTCCCCGACAACTGCCCTGCAGGTCGGGTGCACGACGTCTGTGGATGCTGTGAACAATGTGCGAACGTGGAGGGGCAGCAGTGTGACCCAGATGGGGCTCAGAAGTTCTATGGCCGCTGTGGAGAGGGCCTGGTCTGCAGGAGGAAAATACCAAAGGGGGGACACAGGGCTGAGCCAGAGCCAATATGTGTGTGTCAGGAAAAGGGCCCCGTATGCGGCTCAGATGGCTGGACCTACCCGAATGTTTGCCAGATGAGAGAGGCCGCCAGCCACTGTAATACAACGCTCAAGCTCACTGGAAGAGGACCTTGCAACTCTGGTTACGTTACTCTTTTCTTACATATGTTATCAGTCCAAAAAAGTTCAGATTTTTAAAATTTTAGTGCATGTGTATGTTGTCTAGACAACTTTAAGGTTCCTAGTATTGAACCTTGGGGTACTCCTTTACTTCTGCCGCAGCTCCCCGTATCCTTCAAGGCCCTAGAAACCTGTTCAACTACACCGGGAATGACATTGTGTTTGGCTGTGAAGTCACAGCCTACCCCCTTCCAAACCTGAGCTGGAGGAAGACAGGGAGTGACAACTTCTTGCCAGGAGATGATCCCCACATCTCGGTCCAGGTTTGACAAGAGCTTCACTTATTATGCATCACCAAACATTTCATTAACAATATCTGCTTTGATTGAATTGTGTCCTGTTGGGTCTATAATCGTCAGTTTAAGGGTTTTTCCCTTTTTTAATGCCTTCTGTGGCTCTGGAGTGAGCTTTCCAAAGTCTGAATGCAATATGAGAAAAGGATCCAGTGTTTTTGGAGTTTGAAAGTCAGGCTCTATCTGCCTCTACTGGATGTGTTTTTTCTGTGTTCCCATGCTGAGATGAGAGTGTCATGCACTGGCTAATTTCTTGCCTCTGAATAGATTTATATCATCTGTTGAGATTTAATTCTGTGTTTATTTCAGGCTCGAGGTGGCCCCCAGCGCTACACTGTCTCTACCTGGCTTCAGATACAGGACCTCCACATTTCTGATGCAGGGGTCTACTCTTGTATCTCTCACAATTCTTTGGGACAAACATCTGCATCAGCACAGCTCACAGTGTTGAGACAGGGTGAGTCTCTATGCACCATACTGCAGTAGTCAACAGTAGGATTTTTGTGCTTAAGCAGTGTGCTCAACAATAGAACAGCAAAATAATTGCTTTATTTATTTACGTTAAAAAATAAGATACTGTATATTCTTACACCAAAATTGTCTTATCTGCTCTCCACTGATGATAAAAGGCTCTGCTGAGGAGGAGCAGGAGTACTTCAGTCATTTGGAAGAAGACAATGATGGACATCTGGCATCTGGAGATTACCTGGGATTAATTTAAATCAGTTTATATGACCAGACAACAAGGAGGCCTGAGGAAACAAATCTATAAACTAACATAAAGGATCATTTTACATATTTTAATTGAAATTACATGATGTTTGTCAGTCACAGCTCAATGCTCATTTGTAAGAGGAATCTCTTCATTATGATTAAACATCACATGCTTTTATTAATCTTTTTAGTGTAACCTTGGCACACAAATAAATCACTCTTGTTAATTGCTGTGTGGAGCAAATTTGTATGATTATAATAACAACCCCCTAGGCTAACACTGGCATACTACTCTAAAGGCATATGTGGATGCTGTTACAGATGTGGATGCCATATCACAAACCATAAAGCTGTAGAGCTGTAACAAGGGAAACTGCTGATTCATCTTCAAAACATTTATTTTGAAATAATGTGAATCACAGATACAAGTGACCCCTAACATAAAGCTTCCCCCTGCTTTCACCACTTCACCCTGAAAATATACAGCACATTCGTTCATGAGAAAAAAAGAATGATGGATGGAGAGAGAAAGGGTGTGACCATCCACAGGGTCTCCGTCTGATTCTCTTCATCTCTCTCCACCTGAGTGCCAGTTAATCCTCCCCTCATCCCCTGACTCCCAGCTGGATACACCGGCTCCTTCTGAATGGCAAGCTGCATTAACGCAGAGGAACTTTCCCCCGCTGTCTGTTAGTCAAAGCTGATTGGAGATTACGGGCCTGCGGAGAAAACACAGCCCTCCATCTCATCTTAAATCACTTTCCACCCTTTTTCCTCCTTTATCTCTCCTTCTCTTCATTTCTTTATCTTCTTAATCCCAACTCTCCTCCTTTTTCAATGTCATCAACTTTTACTTGCCACTACATTTTTGCCACTATTCAGTGTTCTTTTTTGACAGCTGAATGACAAGAAAGATGAAGAGGAGGAAAAGGGAGAGAGAGAAAAAAAGCTTCCCCTCCTGAGTGGAGCCAGAATGATGTCATGGGGGCATTTGTCCTCCTGGTGTGGAGGCTTCCCTTCCCCTGCTAATTACCTTGTACAAACTCGAATCTGATATGGCGGATATGAGGCCCAAATACAATTATTGTGGGCTAACAAAGAGATATTGAGATTCAGGGAATGAGGGAGAGACTGCAAGTGAGATAGAAGGAAAGGCACGCGCACGGCCATGCATGCACACACACATGCAGCAACCACATGCACGCACACACGCTCACATACCCACCCACACACACACAAACATAACCACTTGTCCTTCCCCTCCATTCCCTCAGATAGGCTAATGTTATTACTGGGGTAATTATCCTCATTAGTGCCAGCAGCTGTAGAAAGCCCATTGCTTGCTGTTCAAACTCCATCCCGAACCTTTCTATCTTCACATCCCTCTTTGTATTCCCTAGATCTCATTTAGAGACTTTGTCTCCATCCTTTGCATGCCAGCCAGGTGGAGGCGGTTGTAAAAATAGAGCCCCATCAAATATCTAATAAACCAGAGTTACTCCTGTTTTCTAACCTGTTAGAGTCCATTTTGTGGAAGAGGGTTACTATTGTGTACTGTGCTGCAGCACTAAACCACAGAAAGCTACATTAAAGCACTGAACAGTGTGCATAAAAAGGAAAATAATTAGAAGAAGCCTAAAGGGTACAATATTTGTAAAACAGTTCATAATTTTCTGTCATAAGACAAGGTGGGTTAACAACAGAGAAGTTGTTATTTTGATGAAAACTACAACTATTTTCCATCCGTCATTTCTGAGTTGAACAATTGAACACAAGATGGCACTGTTTAGTCAAATAACCACCTTAATGCTCTCCAGTGACTGTGCTTTTACAGCTAGATCTTTGAACATTGCTATCTCTTCTTGTCTGTTTTATGTTTTTTTATTTTTTATTTTTTACATCCCTTAAAAAAAGCTGTTCTCCACAAAAGAAAATTAGCTGTCATCCTTGGATGCAATGACATTTTCCCACTGGGATGGCTATGAAGAGTTGAGAATAATAGGGTTTGCATAACTAAAGGTGTTGCCTGTTTATTCATATTTTTAATGTTTATATGAATGCACCCTGAAAATGATTCCCTTCACGCTTTTTAACTTTATCCCCTCTCTGCATCTTTACACACAAATTATGAGATCAAGAAGTGAAACAGGCGGCTTTACACACAGCATCCCCACCGCTCTGTGAGATTGCCTTTTGTTTTATTGCCAGAGGCTGGTGTGGACAGTAGGTAACCTGTATACTGCTAAGCCCTGCATCAGGCGCTAAATGTCATGCATAGCCTGTTTTTATTGGCTGATATAGCCTGTTGTGCCCTTCTCCTTTTCCTGGAAGCCATTGTTAAAGAGCTGGTTGTTAATGCTGCTGACCAGATGGGCTCCTTCTCCCCGCAGCTCTGACTGAGGGTGTTTACCATGCACTGGGCTGTGGATAACAGGTGAGACTGCTGTTGGCTTGTCAACCAATCAGAGAGCAGCAGATGTCTGGCTTTTGCCTGTAAACCTTTATTTGGCATTTGGGGCCTTATGGGAGTGGGTTTGATAATAACACTGAATCAAAGTGAACTTTTCAAAGTGAAAAGTGGTTTATATGTTTCTTTACATGAGGCAATTATGTGAATGGTCATGCAAACCATGATGGTGAGTCCCCATGCATATCTTAAAGTTCAACTATCATTTCCACAGATGCTCCCTTGTCCCTTGTGTAGCAAAATGTCTCCAGCATTAGCTCATAGGCAAACAGTGAACATTCCTTTCCCTTTTCAATGCAGGCCATCTTGCATCACTGCATCCATCATGGCAACAGCAGAGTTAAGGCCAGGTCTTGTTGGAGAGTAGTCTTTTAAAGCTTTGAATCAATCTGCCTTAATGGATGACCTAGACTCTAGCATGCATCTATGGATTAGTTTGACTGGAGCACCTGTCCCTGTTCTATCAACAGCAGATCAGGTTACTGGCTACACATTCACCTGGCTGACACAACTTCCTATGATTGACAATATGCCAGTCTTTGTTCACAAGACTGACGTTGTATGTTGAATTATGAAAGTTTCAATAAAACAAACCTTAAAATATTTTGGATATATGTGTAAATTATGTGTGAAAGAATGTATTTTTGATCAGTATGATTTAAAATAAACACCAGATAAAGCTCTCATTATAAGAAAAATAAAAAAAATCCAGGTTTATTTACACAAACAATTCCACCTAATGTCTGTATTCTGAATTCAAGATCTGGCCCTAATGAGTCCTCTCAGGTTCATTATGGAGTTAAGCTGCCAGAGCAGCCCACTGAAGCGAGGTTGAGCTTAACATCCTTCCAAGGACAGCTTGTATCTAACACAAGTCCTGAGTGAGAGCTCAGTCAAGAATGGGAAGAATATTCTCTCTGAACTTTGCTCCTGAGTATTGAGATTTAAAGATTATATTATTTTCTAAGTATGAGCCATTTCCCTCTAATTTTCAGACAGATATTGTTTATTATGTATATCTGGAGTCTTGTGATGTTTGGAAGGGAACTGGGAAATTAGAGCAGCTGACAGGATATCAAGCATATCTTCTTCACACTAGACAAGTTTTTATTCTCCTAATCAGGGAGGATATCTCCTCTGAGTTTCTCAGAGCACAATATGGGGAAAATCTCCTTGGATTCATGCTTTCATTTGTTCATTTGTTGGTTGTTTCAGAGCATCCAGCCAGCTCTATCGTACACTCATGTGTAACTATTGACTCATGTTCAAACAAACCTAGCGTGTACTTCCTACAGGTAGCCCTCTAATGCAAGGCTCCATTTGAGATATTAACCAGATATTACCAGAAATGGAAATTATTTCATCCAGCTGGTCCCCTCTATTTGGCCTCATACTGCTGGTGTGGCCTTGCTGCTTCTCTGTATTCACTGTCATTTCCTTTATCCCTGATGATAAAACGATTAGCTAGCAACCGTTATGCTAACCACAAAGCTGGATGGGTAGGTGATGGATGGGCTAAGTGATAGACTCAGGCGGTTGCTTGGAGGGCTTTGTCCTGGATCTCTGACACCTTCTATCTTCTGATCCATGCAACCCCCCTTTTGCCTCCATCCAACCCCCAGATCCTCCCCAGTTACCCCCACCAGCTGCCTCTGACCCCTCATCATAGCCCTGCCTCTGCTTGCCATGTGCTGGGAGTCAAAGGGTTCCCACCTATCGCTCATCAGAATGGAACCCCACCATCTCCTGCCCCACACACTAAATCACAATCAATCGCATGGCAGACAGAGATGGATTGGGACGTCCACGACCCTGTACCTTTCAGGGAGGCCCCTACCGCTCCAAAGGGCTGCTGTCACTGACAAATAATAGAGGTGATTCTAGGAGGAGTGAGCAGGTCAAGTCTGCCGCCCCTGGAAGGAAGTTATCACAAAGCCATGGAGGGAAATTCTTTTCTCTTTAGGAACAACAGTCACAATGTCTAACAGCATGTCTGACAGAAGGACGTGTGCTAGGGAAAGGTTTGCTTTGATGCTAAAAAATGACTTTATAATAAAATTTTAATCCATCTAAATGTAATTTAGTGCAGCAAATATATTCTTACGAGGCAAAATTGATTAGTCTTATGGGGCATATCAATATGTTGTTTTCTGCTACTCTTCAATAGCTCATAAGGGTCTATCCCCCAAATTAAATCTCTTTCCACAGAAAGGTTGAATATTAGATTTGTACAGAAAATAGAATAGTTTATGTTTATGGGCACCTGGAAGGGAGAGCTACAGTGCTGTGCATAAGCAGTGTTTGATAATCTAATTTTGGCAGATGATATCACTCTTTATTATTTAGATGCATCTCTTGCACTTCAACTGTCTTCATGTTTCTTTAGCATGAGCATTTTCATATAACAAACATATAACGGTTAGCTAGCCAATTGGGTAAACCTATAATGTTAACTTAATGTTTCTTGATTAATTCAAATAAACTCACCAAGCAACGATATAAGTGTAGTCACGCAGAAACAGCCCCATGAGTGTGCTTTCTATCAAATTTTATAAAAGATATTTAATTTCAAGAAAGTAGCTCAGCTAGCGTTATTGCTTGCTAACATTTGGTAAACCAACGAAGCTAGATGCTGTGAGTTAACCCTCATTCTACTAGTGTTACATGTATTATGTTAGTTAAGCTTGTTAAAACTATGTGTATTTGGAAAACACATTTTAAAAATGTACAATGAATGAAATCATAATAACATAATGAACCCTAATGAACTAATTAACCCTGTAAAATGGCATACTGGCCTTAGGGGTGCCATATAGGCTATGTACCAAGATATAGGACCTAAAAATGTTCAATAAGAAGCCACTTAGAGACACACAAAAAACCGTTTCTGTGCCATTTAAACCCTGATACATGTATACTGGCCTTCTGCACATTTGATTGTATTATATGAATGCACCATGAATAAAATGCCTTACTTCCACGGCCGGCCTGCTTTCTCTTTTTCTCCACTCTCAAAATAATACAATCTTGACATTCTGCCTCACATCATCATGTGTATTTGAAGAGTTGCTGTCTAGTGCTTCCTGATTTACTTCACAACAGACTGAGTGATTGCATCATTCACATGAGCATTGACAACAAATATCATTCAGACATGTAAAAGTCTCCACAATGCCATAACACGATGATTGGGAGTGAAAGATCTTATTCTGTATTCACTGCCAAGGGCTCAAGGAGGATCATTCACATGTAGATGTGTCCTCCTGGAAGTGCCTCAGCTATACAATTTCCATTTAGATAAGGTGTATACACAAATAAAGAAAGGACATTGGGTTCTTCATTTGATTAACTAATCATAGTCTTTGTAATTCCACTCGGAGACCTTGAAGGGCAGTGCTGGGCTGTGCACCCTGATTAGCCTATGCATGATTGCTGCTGCTATGGCACAAATCAGTTCAAGTAACTCAACTCCATACACTACACAGTGGCTGTGATTAAACAGGCGATTAAGACATAGAGAATTTCTGTCTGTTTAATCTCTTTTCCCATTGTCTAAATAGATAGCCACAGTATAGTCCCTGATCAACAATAACTGAACACCACAAGAATTGGAGTGAGAGGTGATTAGGGTCTTTAAAGCTCCCTGGAGTGTGGATGCAGGTTGTTTGTGATTAGCTCGAATTTAAAGGGACATTCTGTCCTTATTGCCTCTTGCCAGAGCAGGGAATTCATTATCTGATGCTTAAGCTGAGAGAGAGAGAAAAAAAAAGACACACATAGCCCCAGGACAGACGTAATATCTTTTAGTGAGAACGGAATAATCCACATTTGTAGCACAGAACATACCGAGTGAGGAAGCTTC